AAGTTTCTGTTCCCATTGTGTTTGTCTTATCGATTAAGGTAAGTGACACCACTAAAAGGATGTGGATAAATCGTTCTCACTTTTAAGAAGCGATTCATACCAGTAACCATAATACCAAAATAGAACGTTTGATCGATCTCGTTGATTTTGAGTGGAATTTTTGTTTCTCTCATGTTCTCTTAGCAAAATCTCACCTACACAAAACTCGTAAGGGTCAGTGGATTAAAGAAAATGAGAACAAAATTTACTTTGAAGGTGTTTTATCGCTTGTCTCGTTAGGAATGGATTAATAATAATTATCTGATTGTGACAAACCCAATAAAATCCCGCACAAACCAGTAGCGCCAAGCCTATTTTCGACTTTAATCAATGAGCAAAACCATCTCATTCAAGGATGACTACACCCTTAGATAGTAGTAAGAGCTGCCAATAACCTTTTATCAAAGAAAGAGATTAGGTATTTATTTTAAGGGCACATGTAAATCTGGATCACAGAGCGTATGACGCAAACCTGCCCATATCAAATAAAGAGAAAAAAAGTGTTATTTTACCGCATCCTACCCTTTAGGTTTAGATGGCATGTGCATGTTCATTTGAAACCGAAATGTCGCCACCCCTTAAAAACTCGGTCGATTCCAGCGTTACGTGATTCCCCTGTGGTTTTTGTATTACTCAAATATAACAATCTGACCTTATTTGTTACAAAGAACGTATAATTAAGTAATTGTGACCTCAACAGATAAGTTTACATATTATGATAAACGATTACTCAGAGTTATAAATACCCTTTCGCTTTTTAGGACATTTTTGTCATTCTTATTGGGCTACGGTACCGCACAGACGATCTGCGTCAATTTCATGTTTTAATTTTAGCATATTTAATGTATTTAAGCAACATTCCAGATGTTTCCGTGTGTGAATGCTAAATATGGATATAACTATTGAATAAAATGACACAACGGAAATAGTATTTGATGCCTGCGTATTTGTAATTGAATGACAAATATATACCTAAAGTCATGTAATTCGGAGTGCATCAAGGACGCAAACCAGGATCTCTTTTCTTTCTGATACCAAAGATCATGCTCTTTATAACTGATACCATTGACTAATTTGGTGGGTATTAGTCAATGCTGTGCTGATACTGATGCAAAGTGAAAGTACTGAGTAGATATAAATTAAAAATTCAGAGTTACAGTAGTGAACATATGCGTATCTCCATTGTATGGCAAATTCTTCCATTCCTTTCAAATGCATAACGAAACGAATATATTTACTTAGGTACTAATTGTCTTTGTTTCAAACATTCTATTCTCATCAAAAAGATCACCAAAGGGAATTTGTTTCACGGATGCCAACGATGGCTTTCTACTCTGTTTCAACTTACACTCTAGAATACCTACCAATGGTCTTTTAAGATAGAACTGTTTGAGGGCACAATGAGGGGCGCATTAATCGACACAAGGCACACATCTCTGCGAATATTTTTTTATAATTGCTATGTTGAGTGGAACTAGACCACTTTTCAGCACTTCGTTACATCCAAAATGCTCATAAAATCTCAAAGCAGTTCTAAAAGTTATAGTTCAATCGATTTTTTTATATTCCCTGATGTTGAGAAGTCCGCCGAAGGCCTGCTACTGCTGCGGATGATGAGTCATGTTCTTGCCAGGGTATTTGAATAGTAGAGTGTATTCTTGGATTATCTATACCAATCCATACTTAAAAACGTCTACTTAGACATAAGTGTCCCGTTTCTATGTCACTGGGGGCCATAATAATAAATGTCTCATTTCCCGTCGAGATTTCGCTTAAGCAACAAGCGGGGTCGAAATAGAGGGAAAAGACTGGTTGCCAAAGAGTAATATGAAATGCTCTTCAAATTTCGATTCTTTGAAATATTGATGAGATTAACTGCAATAGATTGATTGATTGAATCTGGTGTAACTCATCATTTGGAGCTGACATTCTAAGAACCTCTAAGTGGTGTATCTTCTAGTTCACACTACTGATAACGTTTTGTCTCTTTTTTTCAGAAGAAAAAGATTTGAGGACTCCTTTTCCAACTCTTCCCTATCACTGACACCTATCCAGATGCCAGCAACCTAGCAACTCCCAAAGTTTCATCAGTAGCCTGCTCCTATTGGGATTATAGAAATTCGGTAGCTTGACTCTTAGCGGTAACTTACCGACATCGGTTCAGAGAAGAAGAGCCTTCATAGAAGTAGTCTCGGACGTAGCCAACCTATTATCCTCATACATCCATTCTACACATCCAAGATCCAGTTCCATTTTGCATTAGACACTCATAAATCTAGTGTGTGACATAGCTTCAGTCTTATCGATACTGTTACATATTGTATATACGTAGATATCCTGATGTTTATGTAATGTTTTGCCGAAAGGCGTCAAATAAATGAATCAATTGTATACAGTTCAGTTTTTCTACAAGCTCTGGACTTCAGTGATGTGACCAACATAATAGTACATTGTTTACCAAGGACGAGAAGTGAGTTTTCACTGACAAGTCGGAAGTCCGTGGTAAACACTACATTTTTTTTTATTAGTATGCTAAAATTTCTTGTATATAAACGGCTAGTCAACACAGATATAATAGAAATCAAAGGAAGCAGAGAAGTGGAAAGGAGGCAGAGAAGTAAAATTTCTCTGCCTGTTTTCCGCTTCTCTGCCCCTAGCAACGAAACGATAGTTCGCTGTTTGAATATAATCAGCGAAATGTCACATATGACGTACTTATAAAAAATACTTTATTAAAAAATAAATGGACTATCTTCTAAAGATAAGCTTGACATTTTCGGATGAAAAATGTCACTTATTTTCCAAATACTTGTATGCAGAACGTGTTTACAAGTTTTAAGTTTGCAATATCAATATTGGCATGCAGTTAGATACCAAATAGCATTCTAGCAATAGATTTGCATATTTAATGTGAATTTATTCTGCTATAAATATGCAAAAATGTAGTAAAATATTGAGAGAGACCTCGGAGACAACTTAAACAAAAACCTGGAATCTACCCTACCATAGCCTTCTACAACGATGAAAAAACGTAATCCACCAAATCCCATAATGTAACAACTTTGCCTTTTGAAACAGTGATTTTTATCTCTCTTTCTTTCCTCTCTCTCAAGTCAAAAATCCATAGAAAATTGAACCTTCATCATCATTTAATCCACTGCACTTTTTCTAAAAAACTGCCTAATTGTTTTGTATTCCTTTCCCTCGTTTATTATCACATCCACTTCCTTACAACGGTCTTCCAAATACTTTTTCTTTGCCTGTTTTGCTTCCCTGTTTATTTCATTCCTTATTGCTCTGTACTTTCTTTTTCCTTCCCTTGTAATGGTCTCCCTTTTCTTTTCTATTTTCTCAATAATTTCCTCTTTTATCGACTCTTTTCTAGTATGTGCTTTCTGTCGACCTTGTTTTTGGGCTGTTTGTCATACTAGTTTTCAAGTTCACCAATCTATCCTCTATTCCTGTGATCACAGATATATTTGACGTTTTGCTATAGGAAACTAAAGGGTGGGGAGGGTCTAAAGTTTGTACAAAATTTGATCGTCTTTTCTTAGCATCTAAATCCGGCATTCTGTTCAGCAAAAGAAGAGTGTAAGTACTTACTACTGTCCTTTTATTTTCATACCATAATACCGCTGTTTCTAATACATGAGAGGCTTTCTCCATGACTCGATCATGTTTCCTCGTCTCCATTTTGTAATTTTTCATCATCCTCTTTTTCACCATAGCGACAATCTCATCATTAATAATTTCAAAGGTCTTAACGTCACTTCTTATACTAAGTCTAAGCGTCTTCCTTGTAAGAGCCCTAAAATCTTACAGTCATTTTCTTCCTATTTCCTCATAATGTCGCAACAACATTTTTTTGTTCCATCAATTGATTCCACTATTTCGAAAATTTTGTAGCGTTGGTGTACTGCACGCGTCCGCTACCATTGTACCCACAATCTTTCAGGGTAAGTCTTTAAAAAATGATATGACTCTTTCATTCCACATTTTTTCTGTACATTCGCTATATGCATTCTCAATTATCTCTGTATCCATTTGGTTGTATCAATGATGTGACATTAGGTGGCAAATATTTTATTTAAAAAGTAATCGATAGCGTTCAATAATTCAACATTAGAATGAGCAGCAGCAGGCGCATTATCCAGTAAGAGTACAATCTTTGCAGGTCTGTTTCTCTCTGAATCCTTATACTTCCGGAATAAATTCGTTTCGTAATCGTTCGCAAAGCAAGTTATCATCTATTCATGCGCTCTTTACTATGAATTTTCAATCCTGGTGCTGCTACTTTTCGTTTTGATGCGAGTGATTTTTGTGGTAAAGACCTCCAATTCATACTCGTCATCGAGCGCGTTCATTCATTAAAAATTCAGAGATTTGTTTTCCAAATGACTCAACAGAGTGAAGACGATGTATCACTAAACATCTTGTTTTCCTTGGATGTCCAGGGAGACAACATTTGTCAACCAACCTGTACTTGATTTACACTCAGAAGAATCGCACAACAGTTCCTTTTTTTAGGAAACCACAAGTACGCAGCTCAAATTTTAATAATAGATGCTTCTAGTAAAGACGTGCATATCGCATATTGTAAAAATCAGATGTGCGCATGCACAAACTGTGGAATGTCATCTTTCTAATTTATGGAGATATTTTTTTGAAATGGGTGTATGGGTCAAATACAGTAATACCTAGATAGGAACTGGTGGGCAGAAGTACTTTGATGAACAAGTAAACAGGTCAGATGAACAGACCTGTCACTGTCTGTGTGACGTGTACCACAGATATACAGATATGTGTATATCTGTGCCAGTACTAACCAATGTGTTTCTGCAGACTAGCTCGTAGACAGTGAACGATAGACTAGACAGGCAGACAGATGACTCTGTCTGACTCATATCCTATAGTGATTTACAATCATTAATTAAGAGACTAATTTCCTTTTCTCATTTCAGGTTCCGTATTTCGGCCATGCCTTTTATCCGGTTTATATCTTTTACTTTATTTTATTTTACCAATGATACCAGTGCCAACCAACAATTCTACGTCGCGATGCGCCGGAATCTACCTCAAAATCATAATTGCCCTGTCCTCGATAAACCTAGCGGGACACATCATTTTTCAAATGTTACTAGCATTTACTGATCCGCCTTATAGTGAAAAGTTGGTGGTAAGTGGCGAGAATAATTTACCTCTGTTATGTACAAAACTGTCGTTTTAGGGTTGTTCGACTTTAGAAAAAATTCTAAGACATGTAGGATTCGTTAGGTTAGATCACATAAATCCTGTAAGTGCAATTACGTGGCTTTCACCTGAAATTATTATGTTTGTCTCTTCGATTGTGATTTTTATTGTGTATAAGAAATTAACTTCTGATGAAGATACCGTCGAAACTGGTGCAGGTGGCAGTTCGACAAGCTTAGTAAGACCGAAAAGGAGACTGATTGGAATTTTAGTATCAATCGGTACGTTACACACCTCAAGTAACACTCGATAATTTCTGTTCTTATAGGAAAATATATGGTTTTAACATCATTGTGTGTAGCCGGTGTGATCCGGCCCTCAATTCCCGGAGGGATATATTTTTTAGTATTTCTTTCGGCAACAACATGGTGGGCTTGTGGAGGAACACTAGGAAAGAAGTTTGCGGGAGTTATGATATTTGTCACGTGTGTGGTTTTTTTACACATTTCTGCAATTTTTATTTATCAAATGCAATGGCCGCAGTTGTTGGTGCCGAAAGATTACCCGCTTTTAAGGTGAGTATTAAACGGTTGAAAGTTATTATGAAGTTTACTGTTTGAAGGTATTTTGGAATCTCGCCGTTAATGACTGTCAAATGTAAAGATCCTCGAAATATCCTATGGTCTCCAGATCTACAGTGGGACTCATTCTTAAATCCATTGGTACTAATGTGGCTGTACTTTTTAACAGTTTCGGAAGTACGGCTTCTCCTCATGCCTAAGGTAACGTTGGATGCAATTTTGTCCTTGCCATTAACCCATAATTAAATGTTGTTGTGATGTAAGTTAGTTCAATTGCTTGTGGTGAAAAGGATTTTATTTCCTTTACTTATATCAGACAAACACTTGTCTACTAATATAAGAAATAGAAAAAAACTTTAAATACAAGAGTTTGTGGGTTCGCCAGAAAAGTAAAAAAAACAAATGAATATCGCAAAGCTAGCAAAAAATGCCCATTTAGTAAATTTGTAATAGAACGACCTGTATATTTTTCAAAAATTGAATAGATCTGTTTTTTCTGATTTCAAAAATATATAATATATGTTTTTGAATGAAATTTTGAGTTTATTAGCAATACTTCGCGTACTTGATAAAAACTACAGAAAATATATTGGAAGTAATGGTGATCATGATGTCGATTCTAACTGATTTCGACTGTTGAAATTTTAGTAGCTGCGTCAAAATATTATTATGAATAACTTATTTACATCATTGAAACGTCTATTATAACCTTTTTACAGTTGAAATTAAATTCAACCATACAGCAGTAGTTGAAAATGAAATTTCAACATTGAAATCAAAAGTAGCGAGAGTACACCCTTTGGGAAGTCGCACATGGTTCACTTTTGCGTTTTGGCGGCAGGTTTATTATTGTTACGTTACAATTGCGATATCTAAAATCACATCTGAACTGGATAAAAATAATATACTAAATAATGGCCATTTCTTTTGTTATGGGATAATTGTAATAATAAATGCAAATGTATTAAAAACGGCTCTATCAAACATCAACATAGTATATATTTTTAAAATCAGAAAGAAAATATTAATTTTTGAAAAATATACAGGGCGTTCCATTAAGTAAAAATTAACCAAATTGCATTTTTTACTAACTTTGCCATATTCATTTGTTTTTGTACTATACAATTTCTGGGGATTTATGATAAACAGCACAACTTTTGTATTTAAATCTTTTGTTTATAAACGAGCTACGGCGCTGCCTAAATATGCTGAATAACCCTGTACTTGAAAAACACCTAACTTTTTGTAGCTTGACTGTGCCATTTAACAAAATTGGTTTTATTCCCATAACACAATTGTAACTAAAATAATGTTTTTGTTCTTACTCTAGTGACCCACAACTTTAACTTGATCTTTTGAACTTGATGTTGCAATTAGATGCATCTTACTTAATCTTGTTGTTAGATAGCAGTCCCCAAATGAATTTTTATTGTTAGCAATACTCTATTGGAGTGATACAGGGGCTGAAAGATGTTCCGTTACTTTTCATACAAAATTCAAAATGGAGCATGTTCCATTTTTTTCCCAATAAGCGGATTGTTTGTTTCCATGGTGTCATCTCTAAACCTTATGAATTGCATTATCAGTCATCTTTAAAAAGCACTTTTCGTGTGATAATATCATATAAATAAAACACTTCAAATGTTTATTTTTGGAAATGAGTAAGCAGAAATTAGGAATAAACAAAAAGTACTACTATCCTATAGATTTTAGTTGCTATTTTGCTTTGGCAAAGAAGTGAGATTGAATTTAATTTTTGTTGAAGATTATGTCGAAACGTTGGTAGCTGACTTTTCCAAGGTGTCTTCTTCCATGTTTCCACCATACAAAGCAACGAGAAAGCGTGCTCTAGCGTCTACGATGTGCTCTGGTCATCCTGATGTTTGAAGACGCTTTACAAAAATCTTCAAATTTCCCCCACTGTAACTCGGAACTTTAAGAAGTATCTAAAAAAATGTGAAGGCGTTTGTTTTCTTTAACTTTCATTTGAACCCTTTTTTCGTAAGATCAACTGCAGGGGAGTTATTTTGAAAAAACCAATTGTCTGTACCTTTCATCCAAGATGGCGGCACGAGTGGTCCTCCCCTAAGGTCAAAAACATGATTTTTGTTTAGGGTCCAGACCTCAATAACAACTAAAAAATTACTACTATACACCACCTGTTACAGGACAAAGTCCTTATTTGTGTTCTACTGACTGGACTATAAGAATTACTAAAAAAACCTTATTTCTCTCATTACCAATCCCCTTCCAAATTAATATTTTGGCTCAAGGCCTTGACTTGCACATCACTGATTGTTAGACTGCGTTTGCTAGGTACAGATGCATCTTATTTGAGCGCCCCGGTCGAAATCATAACATTTCGGTATGTGAGAAGTCAGTGCAATATTTGACGCTGTTATCTAACAACAATTAAGTATAGACCATACCACACTAGATAGCCGACTCATTTTTTTTCGCGTTTCGTAATTCCATAAAAAGGGTGTATGCAAAATATGTAGGCATCGCTGAAAAATCTATTGCCATATTACTTCTAAGTCAATTTGGTCTGCAACCATCCAGAATTCTTATTTTGTTTCAGTTTTCCTTCAGAATTGTTGGCTTGCTGACTTGATTGTTTGGTTTATAAGTAAACTTTTATATTGTTCGTATTATGTTTTATTGTTTATCGTAATTTTGTTGTACTCTACTGTTCTTTCTCTTTCTTTTCACAATTCCTCTAAACTGATGGTGTCGTTGTATATAAACATATTTTATCCTTTTAACTTTGATTTATTCTCCATTATTGATCTTTTTTCGGCCCAGTCAATTATTTTAGTTACCTACCTCAATTCTTTTTTTTATCCATAAGCTTCCGTAATTTAATATCTAATACTTTTCCTCTGATACAAACTTTACTTGGGTTGTTTTACGAGAGTTGGGGATTAAGGCAGGGCAACTATTTTTTTTGGCAATTTTGTATAAGATAACGTAGCCCAAAGTACATCAATGGTGACGATTGTCTCCAGTATGTGGTATAATGCTTATTGGGTTTCTTTCTAGCTTATTAAAAGCTAGCCCTGCAATAATCTTTTTCCATACCTGTATATTTCGTATCTGTACTTTTAACCATGAATAATCCCCATTTTACGGGAAAGTTTCAATGTCCTATAATTATATGTATTTCATGCACTCAGCAATGTATTTTTTGCTTATCCAGAACTTGAAAACTATTGTGTTAAAAGCATAGCCTTTATTAGGCGTTGTCTACCTAGTGTAATATGATCTTTGGTGTAGGTAATATTACCATTTAATGTGGAATAAACAGAAGCATGTCACATATCTATTACCAATAAGCACGAAACTAACTAGAATTAACCGACTAATTTTTTTAGGCGCAAAAGAAACAAGGTACTTTTTCACGCCTGGAAGCCAATGTTAATGGCCGTTTGTCTCGTCAAATCCCTCAACGTTTATCTAATAAGGGTTTGGTGCGTTCACGTACCATGCGTCAAAAATGGCAGACTGCTACTCGGAAAGTCCGAGTAAGAGGTTTACCAATCGATGTGCATGTTTACTTATTTTGAATTCAGGATGTTTCTCAGTACAACACTGCGCTTTATTTGTTTGAACTATTGAATTCTGTACAAAATGTTTGCTCATTAACATTTTAATATATATGCAAAAAAAAAGATTAAACTCAACCACCCCATTTGACTGAGATCTATAAAATCTTATTATTATATTACCTGTAAATTGTGGTCATGCGTTAATGCTGTGCATAAATTGCACATAATTATACTAACAGCTCTTGAACCAGAAGATAGTGTGTCTGGGAAACATCTTGTGATCTGGAATGTGGTATTATTCGCGCATTGGCCTCTTGGTGTTTTTATTTATTATTTTATGTCGATTTGTGCGATGTTTTTTGATTGGTTGATGCTTAGCTTGCTGGTTTTAGGTAAGCAATTCGACGGGGTCTACCGAGGCAACACCCGTATGTATTTTCTTTTTCTATTTATTATTTCAATTAACAGTTTGTTTGTATTAGTCTGAACTATGCTTATTTATTCATTTTTGCTTTTGTGATCTAACCCTAGCAAATTTACGGTGGGAATAAACGTTCGCCAAATTTAATTAAATCTTAGAGCCAGGGTGCACATTTTCTATTGCAAACATTTGGTTGAAATTATTGAAAAGTACGTGCACGCTATTATTGGCTGGTGGGCGTCTAATCGCACTAAGAGAATTATCGACAGATTGAGATATTCAGAATTATATGTTTTCAGTTAATCAACTCGACATCCCCTAAAAGACGTTATACATTTACTGGAAAACGGGCCGCCACCATTCTCCAAAACAGTCGAAGCGGAAGTGTTGTCGTTACCCAGGATTCGCCCAATGACATTCCCATGGAGCAACTTGGTAAGGGTAAGAGATTACAACACATATAATGGACACTAACACATTATTTTGGGCTTTAATCTCTAATGCTATGAACAAATATGCAGTTATAGATGCTTATTACCTACACGTGGTTTTTTTTCAAAATTATTGCCTTCGCTGATTTTGCTGATGCATTCCTTGAACCGCAAATGACTTGGAAATTGGTCCATATGCAGGGTTCCCTTTTTTCTCACCTCGTCATGGACATTTAGGTTAAGAAATATGATGTTGCTTGCATTGGAGTCTGGTTCACTCTCTCTCTCTCTCATGTGGCAATGTCCGCATACAAAATTTACCTAAATTTATAATAATAATAATAATAATAATCCTTTATTTGCTCAACAGAAAGACATAACCTTTCCAATTTCAGATCAAAAACAACATTTTACAACTTGCCAGAGTACAATAGAGTTAAAAATAAATCAAAAATAAAAAATATGTCTAGTAATATTGAAAATAGTACTTAAACTACCGAAACCAATAACAAAAAACAGTCAAACAAACAAAGAGAAAAAGAAAAAATTAGAAAAAATTATCTATCGGCCCTCTTGAATAATTACTAAGTGCGACTAATAATACTAAAAGTTTAATTACTCATAATTGATTATAGGAAAAATAATGTTCTATGAAAATATTAAAATTAATTACAGTTAATGTTAATAACCGAGCGTAACATTTCCGGTAAAGAACTGTAATGAAGATTATGTTAAGATATATGAAATTGTCACACGACAGCTTTTTTTAAATTATAATTTAAACTTCAATTAAATTTATCCGATAGATAACTTTCGATGCGAATTCACAGTGCATACATTATGATAACACCAAAAGTGCTTCCAATTTAAGCAGTATCTCTTAATATAACTGAAATCTCCATGATGAGGCGCGAGAAACAAATACTGGGTATTGCAAAGCGGAGCAATAACTGTACGCATATGCTTGGTTTCGTTGTGTATGTGTCCGCCCCTCCTTCCGCGCGATAATTCGTAAACGAAGGCGAATGTTTTAATTCTGTTTTCGTATCAGAGAGCTGAAACGTGTATGTTGGTTAACGTTTGGGAAGTAAACGGAGGGGGGAAATGGCATATCACTAGTTGCACATACTTACTGCGTTTATTGGATAGTTCAATAACCAAGCATTTAAGTATATTTGAGGCAATGCTCTTATTTGTTGTGCCACAATTTTAACTATAATTTTATTTAAAGCTGATGAAAATGAAGAAGAGCAAATAACAGTATTTGACAAATTTGTCGTTTGGGTGGATTCCCTGATTGAGCTTGCAATTAGATCTTCATATATTTTTACCAATGTCATAATGATGGTAAGTTTTAAGATTTATTTGTTACTTTTACTAAACGTCTTAATGTTTTTTAGGCATGGAGTATATCATTCCCAAGCTGGCTAGGATTTGTTCTTCTTCTTACCGCCAACATACTTTGGATGGTACCAAATCAACGCCGAGCGATGTTACGCTTCAGCCCATTTTTAATATTTTACGCGTGGCTACTATTGATCTCTGGTTACATATTTTCAATGGATCTCACAGACGAAGAGCTACCTCAGGTGGCCAACGGGGTCGACCTTGGAATCATCGGCTTTGAGAAAGTGTCGTACGTACCGTGCAGATTTCTCCTTTTAAAGTGCCTGTACACTGCTATGTTTTGGATCACCCTAAAGCAGTACTCTACGGAAAAAGCGGAAGAAAGACAAGTCAGCGCTCTCGTTGATATGGCAGCTCCGTTGCATGTCTCCGTAGGTGCAGCAGCAGGTACAAAACTTCTAAAATATTTTGAAATGAGATTCATGGTTTTAGGAGTCTCTCAAGAGGATTCTAAGGCCAATCTACCTTTGAAAGTTTTCGGGGTACATGCAAAAAAGTTTCTTACAAAGTTTTGGATTTGGATTGTTGCCATAACTTTGTTTGGTGTTGCTATCACAGGGCAACGAATGACACTTTTCCGCATAGTATATATGGCCCTGTTGTTATTGTTTTTAACAACATTTCAGGTTGATATAATCGTATATAAAAGGTTGCAGTAGTGCCAGGCACTGTGCATGTTGGACTGCGGTTTAGTTTATCCAACCAGCTTTTTTTTTTGCTCTTCCTTCTGAGATGTTGTTCGCCCATCTATTTTCCTTGGGTCACACTTCGAAAGCACTTTGGACCCATTGGATACTAAAACACTACAAGTGTTACAATAATTGAATAATTACTGTTTACAATACTTTTCTTATCCTATCTATGGCACTACTGCAATCTTTTAATACAATGTTGATATATGTGTAAGCTTGGCAAATGAGGTAATGAACTTGTTTTAGTTCTCATTTAGACTTTGGAGGAAGCTCATGTTCAGCTTTTTGGTTATCGTCATCTTATTTTCGATGGTAATGTTGGTACTTGTGTATACATATCAATTCAAAAATATCCGAGAGTACTGGTTGACATATTTACATATTACGAAGGAACAGTGAGGATTGTAGCCGCGCCTTACAACAACACTAATCTTGCTTTTTTAGGCAATTGGATATCGGCTTAGAGTATTATGCTCCGAAACAACTTTTTATTCGGCTAGCAACTCCTACCTTCTTTGTTATAATTGTAGCGATACAAATTCACTATTTTCATAAAAATTTTATTACATTAACTGAACCTGTAGTACTTTCTGCAGATACGACAGTCGAAAGTACTACCATCCAAAGTCCTGCTACTGCAGAGCCTGTCAGTGAAAAGACAGATTTGGATACGTCTACAAAGTTTGATATCACCGAATTAGGAAGCATGTATTTTTAAATAGTTTGATTCGTTATTAACTGAATTATTTTTTGTAGATATGTCCGGTGCAGAAGTCACAGAGAAGTTTAAATCGAGGTTTAAATTATTTTTGAATCAATTAGGTGACTTGGTGGAGTTAATCCTTATGTTCCTTAATATGCATTCACCTACAATTGTGTTGTTTGTTGCGTTCTTAATGTTTACATACGACAAGTGTGCCTTATACTTGCCTTTCGTCATATTTGTTATGGTTGCAGTATTGTTAGGTCATCGAGTACGCACACTAGCACTGTATATTACGTCTGCGTTCTCCTGTGTTGTTGTTGTCGGGAGAATGTTGTATCAAATTGAAAACATTGATCATGGTTTGTGGAATTCCACTTGTGAGGTAATAAAAGTACTAGTTTTACCTGCGACTTTACGTTTAATTACAGCGCATGAATTCTACTTTAAATAACGCTGAATGGCTGGGATTTAAGAAGCTGACATCTGAGACAACTTTGTATAATATCGTATTCTGGAATATTCTATACATATTTGCAACAACTTTTAAGTGTGTCATCTATTTACGGCAACACAACGTGATACTACCTGATGGGAAGCGCCCGAAGAGAGCTACGTTGATGTTTCCAAATATAAAGCGGTCAGATGCTGATAAGAATGTGTTAAATTGTGTGAAATATTTATTTAATTATGGGTTTTATAAATTTGGATTCGAGGTAAGCGGACAAATAGTTAATTTATAACACTGTTGCGATTCTCTGGGGTGGCGATACTAAATTAACATACAAAGCTTCTTTTATGAATATTGTAAGTGCTGTAACGGTTAAAACTATCTTCCGAGCACATTCTGTCGGTGCCCCAAATGCGAGTATAATTTGCTTGAGTTCGGTTGTCTCCGTATACATGATTAATGTCCATATGGGGCACCGAGCTGATTTGCCCCAGTACATGTTTAACTTTTGCGCGTGGCGTTGAATTCTTTTGTCTTGCTTTCCGTGCGTATTTAGGTATGAAACTTCTCAATTAGACGCAGCGCTTCCAACACAATGTGGAAGGCTCACAGATATTTAAAGGGGGTTTTAAACAAACTATTCAAAACCAATTGTTAGATGTAGTGTAAATTGATTAGCAGGAAAATTAAACGAAATTCATTCTGCATTCATTGCTTTGGAGGATATAAATTATCCCTCAAAGTTAAGTATGACAGGGCGTCCGTTATCAGTGCCCGATGAAGCGGTAGGCGAGCTTGTTCATTGTTTGCCATCCACAAACGATTATACGGTATTGGTTTGGGCGTGACAGTTAAGAGATTCTGCGGTCGCCCTCTTTCGTGCTGAGTTGGGTTTTTGGTTGGCGTGTGTCTTATTCTTTGCTTAAATTAGGAGTGTTTGGTGTGGTTTCGGTGGCTGCGTGTAGATGGGGATAATTGATTCGTAACAGCCTCCTCCCTTTTGAATAGGAGAAGGTCCTGGTCCCTATTCAGATGGTTTCACTTTGGCTTTCCTTGGTCGATCCCGTTTTGTTATTGGTAGGACAGGCTCATGGTCTGCTGTCTTTTGGTACGGCGTTACAGCTAAAGAATGGTAGGTGCCGAGAGATTTTTCAGGTAAATCCCTGTCTTCTATTTCATAACTTGTAGGGGAAACTGCTTGTAGGATCGTATACGGTCCGTCTTCATGGCGTGAACTTCCTTGTGAATCCCTTTTTGGCATTACTTAGGAGGATGTATGGTTGCCCAAACTTTGTCTCCAGGGTTGTAAATGGGTGCTTCCCTTTTTCTCGTATCTGCGTACTCCCTGGCCTTGGTTTGTGCCTTTTGTTGGTTCAACCGGGCTTAGAGATGAATGTAGCTGCCGCTATTATGGTTCGTTGGTCCCTAGTGCAGTCGCTGCGGGTCCCCAATTCTCCATCCATGCTTAGGTAGGCAGGGGTTTATCCTGTGTTGCATCTGGCGGTATTCATGGCGAAATGTATTGGTTCCAATTTTTCGGGCCAATGTCATCCTTCAAGTCGCAGTTCTTCCTTTCCACCGGATTGGCTTGTGGGTGGTAGACCGGTGTTAGTGATTGGGTAATCCCTAAACAATGTGTGACATGTTTCCAGGTATATATTGAATATTGATACGAATTGTCATAGGAGTGGAGGGCTAAGGCCCATTTGGCAAGTCTTTTGGTTGGTGACTTGAGGGTGAGGAGCCATTTTAACGGTTGGTGGTCGGTGGCTAGGGTGATTGGTGGAGTACAGCGCTTTGGGCGTACTGGCTGGTATCGGGCCTGATATAAAGAGCGAGGTCGGCTCAGCCTGTCGCAATATTAGTGCGGTGGTGTGGAGGGTTTGCAACCGATTGTTCCTTTGGCCATGGAGGTCTTTTCGGGGTCCGTACTGAGGCCGCCTGGTGTGACCTGACCTAGGTACTGATGCGGGTGCATGCCTAGTCAGTAGTCTCTCGAATGTATTGCAGATCCTGTAGGTGAGTAGCGAAGTCTCAGGATATAATGATAAGGTCATCCTAGTAGACTTAAATGGTGATGCCAGTTTGTAAACGATCGATGAGTTATTGGAAGGTCGAAGAGGCGTTAGGGCAAAAGACATTCTTTTAAATTGGCTTGGAGGTCGATGGTAGTCATAAGGGCGGTCTTGACAGTGTGGAGTAGGTCGTTCATACTTAGGTCGTGACCGAATTTAATTGTCGGCAGTCGACGCATAACGCTTGTGGAGCCGTTGGGCTTAGGTACCATGATGATCAGGGCTGCCCATGGAGATTCGCACTCCTCAATAACTTCCTCAGTTGTCTTTTTGTCTAGTTGTTGCTTCAGCGTTGTTGCTTTAGCGGCGTTCATCCGGTGTAGGGGGCGACAAGTACGCATCACGTATGGAGTGTGAAGGTGGCGCGATTGGCGATTAGGAATTTATTTAGCTCTTCTCTCTCTGGCTGTGATGGGGAGGCTCCTTTGGCGGGACGTATCTTCGCATGCGACCATGCCCGGGGAGGTTATAACGTTCGTTATCTCTTCTTAAGAGAGTGCGAGAAGATAGTTGGCGACATTAATGCAAAGCCTTACTCAGCATCACTAATGAAATCAAACGTGTTTTTAGACGCACTCTCGATATCTAGGAACGCTCCTAGGGCTACCTCCCCAGCAGACAGTCCCCTTTTCAAGAGCCAGGAATATCCCGTCATACACTCACTTATATAAATCCTCTAAATCCCTTTTCAAGGGTTCTATTATTGCAGTTTTTAACCGTATTAATGAGTTTTAAGTTGTACATCGAAGCTATATTTTTAATTACTTTGCATTTAGCACTCGCGTTTTCGAAATTATACGTGGCGTCAACAATTTGTGGTAGGTTAAAATCGCCTGCTATTAACACTTCCGATGAATGCAACATGTTTTCAATTGTTTCTAAACTTTTGGTAAAACTCACGTACTTATCAATACCAGATTTCGGTTGAAAGTAGACAACACCAATAATGTATGAAGTATTATTAATTTTAAGTTTGACCCATATTTCATTTAGATCACTTTGAAATTCCAATTTTTCAGCATTCAAATCGGTCTTGACTGCGATTAAAACTCCGCCTCCCATGGTGCACTTCATTTCTTCGTAATTACGGTCATTGCGAAAGACCGCATATTGATTGTTTAAATACTCAGCGTCATGAAAATTTTCCGTTAACCAGGTCTCAGTCAGTAGAATAATGTCGTAATTTGTAATTGCCAATTTATTTTTGAAAGATTGCGCTTTCGTTCGCATTCCACTTACGTTCTGATAATAGATTGAGAGCGTTGATCCGTACCTATTTCCTTGCTTGATTAGTGTTGGGGATGGCCTAAAAAATCAATTCTGCTTCTTTCTTGATCGAGTCGTTTTTTGTAGACTGGGCAATCAACACTCCAGGCCGGGTGCTGTACATCCAGTTTCATTTTTAGTTTCTCAACGGCGTTGGCACAGTTACTGCATTTAATTTCCGCGTCCGAAGCTTTACAGCTCGCTAGGTCATGGTCTCCCGCACATTTGGGGCAGGTAGTAGTTTTGCTACAGTCAGTTGCCTTATGTCCGAACCCATTGCATTTGTAGCATCTTCTAGTTGTCACAGCATCATAAATTCTGCAACGGTCCCATCCTATGTTAAGCTTTTGTTCACTTAGAATTTTCCGGTAACTATTACCGTCAACCTCAGCGTAAGCCAAATACCTGTTAGGATTTCTTTTATCTTCCGTTATGTGTACGACGTTTATGTACGCGGCTTCGTCGAGGAATTGATTCTGCGCGAGAATCATTTCCTTCATTTGGGTACTCCCGATCTTGTCATTGAGGCCTACGATTTTAATCTTCGGCATCTTCGGTTTTGGTAAGGAAAGAATGTAGTCGGATCCCAGTTTCGTTTCGGCTTCCTCCTTAAGTTTGGCTGCAGCTTCTTTATTTTTACATTCAACAACAATGGTTCCTCTACGTAGAGTTTTCATTCCAGTAACTTCTCGGATAATTGGATCGATATTTTCTTTGAGGGTGGTGAAGGTTTGCTTGGAGGGTTGGTTCGCGTCCTTGGGCTTAACAATGATAACTGGGTCATAGGTTTTCTGTTTCAACTTGTCCGCATAAGTAAGCTTCACTTCAGATTGAGTTTGGAGAACTTGCGCTAGATCCTTGCTGATGCTGACATTTTGGGTATTTACCTGGTCTAAAGTATCCTTTAATAGCTTCTCGTGGTTCATCAGTTTCTCGTGCTGACTTTCCATAACTCTATCCCAGTTCATCGTCACTTTGTTGATGTTAGTCAAGATATTCCTGAGGCTGTGTGATTCGTGGATAGCGCAGGGGTCACAGAACCAATTAAAGTTCTTTTTTGAGTTAATAAATTTAACTTCATCGTCACTGACTTTAACGCACTTCGTGTGAAAGTAAGTTTGGCACCAACTAGCACAAAGAATAACTTTATCTGTACGATTAAGATCCACCCGACAAACACCACAGATTGCAGTTGGCATTGCGGCGGCAAGTAAGGGTGGTACTCACCCTCACGATTTGGTTTATATTAACAAATTAGTTCTATTCTTAATTGACACTTATAATCGCGATCGACCACTGGTTACGACGGCGCGCACTCGAGAGCGCCCGGCTTGTTGGTCCTCCTGACAAGGAGCCCAGTTTGATTTTTTTGGTTTGAAATCGTTCATACAATTTAAGTGCGGAAGTGCGATCTCACCTGGGCAGAGCCGCTTGCCCAGGACTTGGCTGCTAAACCCTTCCTGAAGGAAAACAGCCACCAGTTGGACATCGTCTGGGGTTGGTATTCAAGGGGAACTGTTATCGACGCTGCACCCCAGTGCCATGCAGTCCTTGGTACGGTTGCTAACACCTTGACTTGGGAGGTTGGTCTGTGGCGACAACCTCTGTCGCTACTAGTCTGCGTTTCAACCCCGACGAGCCACTTATAATCCTCACTATCCGCACACGAGCCACTTTACAATCATTCAGGTGTCTGTGTGGACGTCCCCCTATCCGCCACCCAGGGACGCACCCGCTGGGTGGCTCCACCGTACGGGTTCATTTCCCCATGATAATGGATCATTTGTTTTTGAAGCAAAAAGTAAAGATACTTCAGTAATAAAACCATTCATATCCCCGGCATGTAAAACCACTTTTATATGTATATGTTTCGGCAGGAAAGCTGTCATGGTAAGTGAGGAAAGTTGATGATGACAGTTTGGCTGCCGAGAGAATAAGTGACCAAATTTTCATCTTGTTACTTTTACCTAGGCGCTCTAACTACTTTAAGTTGTAATTTTAAGCTAAAAATTGTTCTTTTCAGATGTGTGCGATAATGACCGTCATTGTAATTGGAGTAAGGCTAGATTTTTATTCGTTGTTATACTGCTGTTGGTTAATAGAAATTATGATAGTAAAACGGCCGACATTGCGGAAAATGTGGCGCTGGTTTTTTATTGCTGTAACGGTGGTGGTGCCGTTTCAATATTTTAATTTAGTTGGATTGCCACCCACTTTATGCTCAGGTTTGTAGTACAGTATACCAATAATGTTCTAATAAGTTTGTAAATATTTTAGAAATTTCTTGGGCTTCTACTGAAGTACTTGAGAGACTCCAGTCTTGGCTGTTTTTATTGAACTTTAAATATGATTTGATGTCGAATAAATTGCTGACTGATATGTGCTTATTCATATTCGTTTCAAGACAAGCTCTCGTATTTGATGTGGAACTGAAATATGAGAATTCTGAAAATAATACGTATCCTGGTGGTTCAAACGACAGCATTATTCATCATGCCGATGATCCAACTTTTATAAATCCATGTCCAGATTTTATTACATACTGTAGGTTAGTATGAATATCTACTAAATTGAAGAATTATTATTATTTGAAAACAATTAACTATCAGTGATTTTTTTCTCATAGCCGGGGTGATATTCTAAAGAACTTTTATCAGTACGATTCTTCCTCCTCTTTAGAGTTTAGAAACTGAAAGATACTATTTTCTATATTGCAGCAATAGTTGAAATAGCAAAACCTAAAATTGAAAGTTAGTATTTATTTTGACAAACTTCTTCAACAATTTTCAATGTTCCTTTCTACTATGCAACAACTGTTATGAGCAAAAATATTATATATGGTTGCAAAAATCCTATTTCACTGTGAAATAAGACATTTTTTCATTCTTTTCTACCATCATATATAAAATCCTAATCAAAATACATTTTTAGAACATACTTGGATGTTTGCAAACGTGCTGCATTTTTAAGTTGGATGTGGATATCACTAGCAATCATGTTTTTAGCCGCAACAAATCTAGTCAGTATTTTTTCTGTTGGATACCTTATTGGATCTTTTTTGTTTTTATGGCATGGATCAGATTTATATCTACGCCCCCTACCAAAAATACTCAAAGCGTACGTTGTGTTATTGTTGTACTCTATTTGAAAACAATCTTTTCCAGTTGGAACGTACTAATAGGTTACAATGTTTTTGTTATCTTTGTAAAGGCGTTCTTTCAAATCCCTGGTTGTATTTATCACGAAGAGCTGGACAAGTATGCGTGTTGGGTGGTTCAGCTATTTGCAGTGGGATGTTCAAATGAAAGTGTGAAACTGGGTACCACAGTGGGGGAGGACTCCTGTGCTGTTTCTGAAAAATATGTAGGCGTAGTTTGGGATGGCGTTTTGTTCGCATTTTTGATAATCCAAAGAAGAATATTTCATAGCTACAATTTTTTCCACATTATCAACGAAACGAAAGCTACGACAATTTTAGCATCTAGAGGTAGGTACTGTGAAGTTTATGTTTACTACAGCACTTTGTTTAGGGGCGGAGCTTATAGAAGAGTTGAGATATAAAAGGTTACTAGATCAGCAAGAGGGAGAAAAACAAGTTTTGGAAAAGATCAAGGAGAAAATGGAACGCATCAAAGCCAATCAGCAAAAATTGGTAGGCGCACATTATAAGGATACCACAAATCACCATAAAGGTAAGTTGGTCTTGAGTCGGAAAGCTAGATTTATTGTGGAATTCGTACTTGGTAATCATTATTTCTTCAGAACAACCTCCGTTGGCACATTCAACATCGACTTCATCTTGTGAATCCGCTACCTCCCAACAAACCCCTCCTGCCGGATATCACACCCCTATAGACGAGGAGGAGGAGGAAGAACCAGTTCCTCTAACTCCTCGTGCTGTTTCACTGATACAAACCCAAGCCCCTTCGCCGTATTCCGCAATTATGACCGGTTCTCTAGAGGGGTACCTTGAGCCTCAAAGAATGTCATTTAGTTCTCCTCCAAATTCTGAATTAAATCCGCGACCTCCATCGCCCGACGATAGCTTTCCCGTTTTCTCTCCCCCACCATACGAAGCCGCCCCTCCGTACACCGAAGCTCTACCCGAATCTTCTCATGTTCGCATTCATCGTCAGACAAGTCTTGGTCCGCCGTGGATGCAGGGATCGCTAGTTACACCAAGACAGAGTGTAATTTCGTATTCGTCGCGTTCCCCGCTCAGTCATCACACGTGTAATTGCGATTTTTCTAACAAATATAAATGGTGCGGTAAATAGCTTCCCTTTTGTTGTATATACACAATTGTGCAATGTATAGCAAACGTATTGTGACAAGTAATATCTGGATCTCAGTTTTGAGCTTATTTTTGCATAAATCCGTCCTCATGTGTACATTATCTCTCAAAATGGCGATTGTGGTGTATTCATTGAAACGTACTGTTAAATAAAAATGATTTTCTTAAATACTATCAGAGGAGTTATAGTTGAATTGAATTTTCTTTGATTTCCGTACTACTGCAATAAAACTCCCTTGAAATTTGGAATCAATTTTAATATTAAAAGGGCATGTTTGTTTGGATGAAATATTTTATACACATCCCCAAAACGTGTATGTGTACTTAATTTTCCATCATAGATAGAAAAATATACCTTCTCCTGAGATAAAATTTTATGGGAAAGTCTCTGGTGCAGTCTAACTTTCTCAAACCGTTTGGTCACTAGGGGGCGTTTTCTGAATTTAGTCGATTACTTGGGCAGTTTGTAATTGAAGATTATTGATTCCCAAAACAATGTTCTTAGAGCAGGTTTTGATACAGTGAGCTAATTTGGTTTGTTTTAATGATAGGTATAATTTGTAAATTGATAATACTAGATTTTTTATATATTTGGATAGAAAAAGGGCGTCCCAAGTCGAGTGCAATTTGCATGGAAAATTATTATTTATTTTGAAGCTAAGCCTTTAATGTTGCTTCATATTAAAACGCCTCTTTGATTCTTTTTTTATGTGTGTGTGTTATCAGAATATTCCTCGGCCTCAGTTTGAAGTTCATTATTTCTGTAAATTAGAGCCTTCATTCTTCAAAATTAGATAACTTCCATGGTAAGTGAACTCAATTAGGTTGGGCCTCCTAAACTGAGTACCTAAGTTGTACTTGGAATTGCATTGCTAGCCACTACACTACACAGCTCACGTTATAGATTTCTAATGGAAAATTGTAACTAGATAAATGTAATTAAATTGAGATGATTTCTTTAGATTTTATTGATATTGTTTGATTAAAATTTTTATTTAGTAGGACGTTTGTATTATCAAACTAATCAACTGAACTCCAAATCTTCCCCTAGTGGCCAGACGGTTTCAGTCAGTTTCTTATATAATTTGAGCTCAAAGAAGGTGGTGAGACTCTTAGGCGCAATCGACGGGCAGGTTTTATAATCTCACATGTACATTGCAATTGCGAAAATTATTTTGTATAAATAATTTTTTGCTTTTAGATACGATATTTCCAGATTCTAGACCGAGATGTAAAATACGTGAGCCGAATTCTCATGCAAAGGGTAAACAGATTTTGTAGGGTTGATTATAACAAACATTTCTAAAGATTGCGTTGCTTATTAAATCACATTCTTTAGTTGGTGTGCGGGTGTATTATAAACGTGTGGCATGTGTAGTAATATCCACTCTTACTCTTCTACTACCATGCACATTTCTATTGCACGAGAATAAATTAACACTGATACATGACACAGTCACACTGGCATGGCATATGTTTTGCAATGTTGGTATAATTCATTTGTTTACATTACTTCTATTGCAGCTATCCGTTCGGGGGATTATTACATGTTTGATGAAGTTAAAGATGAAGAGTTGGAGATAATTGAGCAACCTAGGGTTCCGTCGATCGACGATGATGACGAGGCGCAGAGTCTGGGTAAAGGCGTTCCACTTATGGAGGTAAGTATCATTACTTACATTTCTGATCATCACATAAAAAAGGGGCATTGGGTGGGTCTTATAGCTCCTTGCCACCGCATTGAAAGCAGACATTCCCACTGCGTTGAAGCACTCCGAACTTGACGTGCGTCGCAGACGCAGTAGTATGCCTATAACACGTCAACGATCTATCCTCTCCGCTCGTTCGCAATTGTCCGCCCCCCTCTCGGCCCCTCCCGTTGTGAGTTCACTAACTGTTTACGTTTTAACAAACTGTACAAATAGCTTATGACTGCGCTGTGTTTCTTATAGGTGTTATAGTTTGCAACAACTCGCTTAAGTCTCCCGATGTACATACGCATAGTGTCACATTGCTGTTGATCTTTTGTAATAAACACTTTTTAGGTGGAAATACATCAAGTCGCTTTCGTTGAACCGAAAGGAACAAAAGAGCCTCAACCAGGTACCAGTAAAGATGATGATGAAGACATAAGCGAGCTAACTGAGCCAAGTACCTACAATCTTGTGGATGTAAATTAATGTATTACAATGGTTTGTTGTAGAGGAGTTTACGACTTGTCAAAAAATTTTAAATTGGTTGGCTTTCGCTGGGTTGTTTCTTGAGAGCTGCTGTTTAACACTGACGATATTTTTAAACAAGTATTCCAAAGACTATCGGTATATTTTACGCGTACTCAATAAAGAGAAGAAAATATTAAAGGTATAAGTATTTTGATGCTGTTCATAAACGTTTGGTAGACTGTGCAGGTTTTAGGAACGAACTGAATACTACATTGGCTTGCGGTTAGGCAGTGGACAAACGTGGCGACCGGCGGGATCATATCATACACTAGTAAAAGAGTCACTGTAAGTAACTTAAAAGAATATGCCTTATTTTTGCAAGCAAAGGTAGTTAAAATTGTGATAATGGTAGTTTTAATGACCACATGACCAGTAAATATTTGTGTAGTGATGAAACGATGGATTTCCTTTCATCTATGCCAACCATCAGTCCATCAGATTCGTGTCAATTTACCCTACCTACGACCAGGTGTGTGATTTTGTTAAAAATTTTACATTACTCACATTATAATTAAGCACAATTTTCTTTCATTTTACTTTATTCCAAATTTAAGCTACTCCTAAAGTCCTCTGAGGCAATTATTGGACAGATACAGTAAAAGTACTACTTTCCGAGAATACAAAGTCACTGCATTGTGAACGTGTTCATAATTTGTTTTTGCTTTGGAGGAGAACTATTAAAACTATGTACTGTAAGTTCAACAGTAACCAATAGAACACAAATCTGCGTGCTGGTTTTTAAATTTTAATCACAATCATTATAAATCAAGTGACATTTGAAAACAGACCTTGCAGTGGTCTTGCATATTTCAAACTATTAATTATTGCAAATTGGTTTTACTGAGCGTTATCAAGAGTCAGGTATAACGCATATAATAAAGCTTAACCTCTCCATTTGAGCTGATGGGTTTAAAAACAATATTTATTGTACTGAGAATAAAGAGGCTCTAGAGTGTGGCTACAGCCAGGTAAAATAATAAAACATGGAAATGAATAGCAATATACAAATGCTATATAGATAATAATAGAAATTGTTTTAAAATGAAAACACCCTCATGAGGTTTAAGATTTCTTTCTGCTGTTTAACGGGAAACATAAAATGAGCCATCTTACACCACAAGTGACATTGGAGAGAAGCAGTTAAGACTGTAGAAGACTGTAGATTTTCTTAAGTTGATGGATACTCTGTAACATACACAAATGTTCGTCTTTCAGCCTCGGTCTCTACTCGCGAATTGTAGACATATTCTTAGAGATAAAATGGCAGAATCGCGCATGCTTAAGTGTGCGGGTGGTATCTGTGCTAGCCACACCAAATTATTAAACAATGTGCGCAGTCATGGAGTAAATAATATAAAGAGGTGTCATGGGATAGGATATTGTTGCAGTAGAAAATCTTGTAAGGAAGTGTTGCTATCTTGTGCTGTTCTTCAAGGCTGTTGTATCGCTGTATTACCATATAGCAGCATGTAACCTGTATTACCTATTTAAATATACTGGCAAGTTGAGATTTGAATTACGTCCATTAATTTGCACCATCAGACACAGACCATGATACTGTCAGCATTATATTTAATCACTGGAATGTGATATTATGCTTCCAATGCAAGGAGTTTAATTCCTTCAGGCCATAGACCTATTTATTTTATTATTTTAACGCCTTACCTTTACCCAATTACAAACTTTATTTGAATTTAGCTAGCAATGAAAATTAAATAGATACAGTGAGAAAATATAACTGATTATGCATATAATTTCTAACGTTTTTGTTGGATTGGCGGTACACGTAGACCGTTTTAACACTGCTTTAGCAATTTTGTGTGGAATTTACGCAAACAAGGTCCTTTTGCGCAATTCACTAATGTGGGAGTGCTGTAAGTATAGTGTATTTGTGAGAGAAAAGATCAATTCCATCCATACTACCATTGTAAATAAAGATGTATATTATATACAATGATACTTTTTTTTGGGCAAAAGAAAAGGCAGTGTATAACCTTCCTTTTTTCCAAAAATCGACTGCACCAAAATTTCTCGGGAAAACACTTTTTCTTATTAATTTTGGTGCGTAGAATCCAAAACAATTCGTACTTTTTCGATCAGGCTTCTCAATCAAAAGTTATAGACTAGAAACCAATTTCGAAAGAAAATTCAAAGGGCTGTAACTTTTGAACTAGTAGCCCAATCTTGGAACTGTTGGAAATTATGGATTCTACAGGCCACATTCTATAAGAAAATTTTTTTTCCGGGTCGATCTGAGACAATTTTTTTTTCGGGGCTCAAAAAAAGGCAGTGTATAACCTTCCTTTTTTGCCAAAAATCGACTGCACCAAAATTTCTCGGGAAAACACTTTTTCTTATTAATTTTGGTGCGTAGAATCCAAAACATTTCGTACTTTTTCGATCAGACTTCTCAATCAAAAGTTATGGACTAGAAACCAATTTCGAAAGAAAATTCAAAGGGCTGTAACTTTTGAACTAGCAGCCCAATCTTGGAACTGTTTGAAATTATGGATTCTACAGGCCACGTTCTATAAGAAAATTTTTTTGCCGGGTCGATCTGAGACAATTTTTTTTTTGGGGCCTCAAAAAAAGGCACCTTCCTTTTTTGCCAAAAATCGACTGCACCAAAATTTCTCGGGAAAACACTTTTTCTTATTAATTTTGGTGCGTAGAATCCAAAACAATTCGTACTTCTTCGATCAGACTTCTCAATCAAAAGTTATAGACTAGAAACGCATTCAAAAAATACTACATCGGAACTAATTCGGCACTGGGCAGTCGGCAGTTCCGCACAGAAAAATCAGGAAAATTCTCTCTTCGCTGACCTACTTCCTACTTTACGAAAGATTGAATTTCTTTATGGCTTGAAGATAAAGCAAAAATCTACGTAGGCGTAAATGACGATCACATTACAAGGCCATTTTCACTTTTATCTATAATAGAATTTGAAGTCGGACGTTTATGATTATGTAGATTACTTCTTATGACGTATGTGATGAAATTTTGCTGAAATACTTCTCGTCAATTTTCTTAGTGTAATTTAGTCCATGGTGCTACACACTCTGGATTTTGTTACATGGCAAATTTATCGACTATGGTGTTTCTAAGAAAATCGTTGACGAAAACCTCAAAATTAAACCGAATTCTATACGAAGGCGCCACAGCATTGAAATTTTTTTTTTTTTGTAATGATAATTAAGCTACAGAGCAAAGCGATACAAGCTTTATATAGGAGGTCGATGGTGTCCGTCTGTCCGTCCATGAACACGATAGGTAACTGCCAAACGCTTGAGCAGATTTGGTTCAAACTGTGCACAGTTGGCCTATACTTAATACTATATTTTATCATGTGTAATAAACTTATTAAAAACGGGCCAAATCCAAGCACCCCGTACATGCATGTATTTCTCATGTTCAAAAACATGCACACAATAAATATGAAATTTTTTTGCCTATTGTACACAATATACGAATTTGAGTTTTCATAAAATAATTGTTACGTAAATCAGTGATGTCATTTAAAACGTTATGCCGTCTTGCAATGCAAATATAAGATAATGTTCTATAATGGGCATTATCAAACGATATGCAAAAGTTTATTATTAAATGACAAATTGTGGTAGGTCAAGGTAAAGACCATCTTTCGTCAATGGCAGAATAAGCAGCACATTCATTGTAATGTTATGTGAGTAGCAAAATGTTGCTGATAAATAAAAGTATACATTTCAGGGTCGCCTGTCGTAACAACATTAACAAGCAGTGTTAGTAATAATTTAGACTAGATTACACTATTCTTGAATTCAGAGGGAGCGTCGGCATTTGCTTTTCGCCATCTATGTTCAGGGATAGTCTCTCACTGCCACAAATTTATACAGCATGGAACCTCTTTATATTATTTACTCTATGGCGCAGTGAAATGACACATACCTACTGCATGGTATTCTATTTTCTATTAGCCCTATGCTTTCAATACAAAATGGAACAGTCACAGATAGGGGGCACTGAAGTCGTGAGTATTTGAATTTCAGGGTAAACAAAAGCCACCCGGATATACCAGCTCACTTGTTCTGTTCTGAAGCAAGTTTCGCCCTTAGAGACGAATGTATAAAACTAAAAATTATTATTTGCATTTTCTATTGGTCACATTATTATATATAATTGTAACCAATAGTTCTTATACATATGGGTATTACTTGCTAAGATACACATATCAAACTTCCTGATGATACGAACATTTTCTAGTATTCATATCTTGTTATTCCATTGTCCAAATAGGTAATACTGTAATGGTAGGTATAACAAAAACCGTATCCTCTAAAATGTGATTAAAACTATAATTAAAGTAGGTACTTCAGTAAACGAATAGTGTTCCTAGTCGTACAAAGTTGGAAGCGTAACGTGACAACAAAACAGCAATAAATAGTCAAGTATAATGATGGTGATGAAACGAAACAATATAACAAGAATTGCGGAAGTAAGGAATGTTGCCCAATCAACAAGATAACTGCTACGTAATGATTTATTAATGATAACAAAATGAGAAAATTGCTCAAAACTCGGATTATACAAAGTGTTTTGCTCATAAGCGATACAGTTTCAGGATGTGTATGGGGATTATTTTGATGTGGAGTCACATACGGCTTCTGTTAGTAACGTTCAGCGTTCAGTAATTGTTTGGGTAGTAGTTGGCTGTGATTTTCTCTTTATATCATGCATGTAAAAAGAAAGAAGCTTGAAAGGTTGGATGTCAATTGTCAATAAATGTTATCTCGTCTGTCAATAAATGTCATCTTATGCACATACTAACAAAAACACAACGAAAACACTTTAAGTTTTGGAAAAAAAACTGACAAGCCGTATGTTTTTCATAAGAACTGACCAGCGCAATTACTGAACGCCCATTATTACAGGTTACCCACCCACACTTCGTTGTGCTACCTAACATTGTGCTGTACGGTCACTTGTTGATAGGCAACATCTGTCAAGTGACCTACATCATCTCCTGACAGGCCATACAGATTGCAACGGATCAACCATAACGTTTTAGCCCTCTTACAGACGCGCATGTGTAATCCTATGAATTCTGTATCAAAATAATCGCCATTGTCTCTTTTAGCCATAAACACCATATATAAATACAATTATAATTTCAGGAAGTAAGTACTAATCAAATTATTGCAACAGTTCACATATCCTGTGTAATTAAAATTCAAAGTAGTAAAAGGCCTATATTCTTTAGGAATCCAAGAAGTAAAGACACTTCCGATGAAAGTCCTAATATAAAAGGAGAGGAGTCTGATCAGGCTACCTCCACTTTGTCACAGTCGCCTAAATTTACAAGGTATTCAAGTTTACTTATTGACGAACTAACCCATTCATTCCATTGCAGTATTCAAACTGTTCGTTATACAGTGCATGTTGCGTCTATAAACGCTTTAAGCACTTTATTTTTACAAACCTTTGGTTTTTTACACGAGTATTATGATTTCGAGAGCGATCCCACAGTAAATTAAAGATTATCACGAAATTATACACTTAATGTGCAATTGCAAAATAAAATGTGGATGTATATACACGCATTAAGTTCATTTCACATAATCATTTAGTTGTAGTTCTTATCTGCTCAACATTGTGCAATTGCAATGTTAGGTCTCTTTAACGAATTTTCCCCATCCGTGCTCTTATCGCTTTACATCGCTACTTACTACTAATTTAGACGTAAATTTAGAGTAACCAATGTGGCATGGCATTGTGTTAAATATAGGCATCAGGAAAGTGTACTAACTGCTCCCGAGATTCGTATTATGGCACCTAGTATAGAACGCGGACTTGATTCACCTTCTCTTGCCAGGTAATAATTATGCGCACCTCTATGTGAAGAATGCTACACTTGCGCACGTTTTGTTGTTAGTCGAACACAGGGTACTTCTGCTTCACATGTATATGTATCAAAGTTACCTTTCCAACAACTCAGTCAAAATAAATATCTTTGTTACAGCGAACATTCAACCATCTGTAATATAAGCTCTAAGTTCCTTAAACCCCGAAACCACAAAGATATTTCTTAAATCGAATAAGTTCCATAATTTTTACACATACCACTGTAATAAAACCTGTATATTATGCACATAAGGTACGCATGTGCTATATTAATTGTGAATATGTACCTATATTATTTAAGAAAAGCATGATTGTTACAAACGAACGTGATTTTATCTAACTTTGCAGTATTTTCTGTGCTTATTTTAATCAATAAAACGATGGGCCTTCAACAAATCCCATACAATCAGAGAATTTCTCAAAAAATTGCATATTATAATTCCCTAATTCCCTCTATTTTTTAGTCGTGAGGGTTCACCTACAAACTTGATGGATGACGAAGAAACGGCGGAAATGTCATCTAAGGAGCAGCCGGTATTTATTCGACTTCTCCTGGCTCTTTGGCACATTTTATTAAGTCATTCGGACATTGTGTGCTACTTCATGATATTTTTAAATCAAATTAAGTCTGCCACTTTTCTGTCGTTACCATTACCATTCCTAGTTCTTTGTTGGGGTACATTGACAATACCTAGATCCTCAAAAACCTTTTGGGTTACAGTGATAGCCTATACCGAGGTAAGTTAAATTGGTACTAGCAATGTATGTCCATAATTTGTGGTTTTCAGGCAATTGTCTTGGTGAAATGTATATTTCAATTTGAAATTATTCCATGGAACAGAAGTCAAAATATATCTCCGTTGTTTCCACCGCGTATCATCGGAATAGAGAAGAAGGATAATTATGCGCTTTGGGATTTGCTTTTATTATTAGTCATATTTTTCCATAGGTATGTTTATTGCATATGGTGTCTTTATACTCAAGGTAATTTTTAGATTTCTGTTAAAATGTTTGGGACTCTGGAAGGCAGTATATGTACCTGCCGTTGTTTTAACAGATGGAGATTACCAAATAACCAAAGATGAACTGAAAGCCATTGAAGATGAGGGAAAATTGCCAAGGTAAAGAACTTTTGATGTTCTGAGAAAAGGATATGTTTCTTATGATGGCTGAGCCACCAACATTGAAATCTATCTAAACTCTTATACTTTAAGTAGTAGAACACGCAAACGACAAAGTTTAAACATATACTAACTCGAGCCCACATTTTGTTTTGTCAAATTATGAGACTGTGATACTAACTTTATACAATGGGAATCGTATTAAGTACATTTTTCGGCTTATCTATCACATTTGATGCTATCAAGTTCTAATTTTTTCAGTTCTATATAATTTGTACCATAAGTTTGACTGAAGAGAAATTAGGTCGTATAGTTTAAAAAAGTTTTTTAGTGCAGGCTCCAATAATGACTTACACGGAAAAGAAAATGTTGAGCTGTCATTTAAAATCAAAAAGTTAGGAAAGAGTAACTGTCTGCTTCCCACCTTTACGGAATCCTTACACAGGTATCCTTAATCCTCATCCTCCATAATTCCGAAGCGTTCTATTTTTGCACTCTCTAACAAACAATTGCAGTACCGTGGCACCATCTTCAGAATCGAGTGCTGACGTCCTACATCCAAAGCCGTTACATTTAAGAAAAGGAAGCGACCTTGAGAAATTGGTCGAAGAGCCGGATGAAGGTAATGACGATGAGGTTGAAGAAACAAATAAGGAAATGGTGTCTATTGTGACCAAGAAAGTAGCGCCAGCTGCACACCTGTCAACTGCAGTTCGCTTGGGGTATATCGCACAATAATAATATTAAAGAATAATTTTTTGGTTTCTAGAATCTCAAGATACCAAGGTGCTCTCACGTCATTTTTCCGACGTTTATTCGATCCTTCATATCGAATTGCAACCGATATTTACTCTTACATGTTTTTATGTGATTTTTTTAACTTTTTTGTCATACTACTTGGATATTCGTCTTTTGGGGTGAGTTAATTTTGTTGCAAAAACAAACTAAATGAGCGAAAAAATTAAATTGGTTGGCAATTTACGATTACTGCCCTAACAAATCTTTCTTCAAAGATTCTGTCAATAATTAATGAACTTATCGTAAATTCAACCTATCATTCCACATCTTTTTCTCTGGATTATGTAGTAAATTTTTATTTTATGGGCACAGTTCTCATGGGAAACATTTTGGTTTATTAAGAAAAAATGTTAATTTTGGGCCCCTCTACCATTCAATCTTCGTTGACCTATTTGCTACAGCTTTGTATATTAAACAGGCGCTCTTTATAATTTAAAAGTTCCAAATCAACAACAAAAACTATAAATTTTGATGGTTGATCAACAAGTCATGCAAATGCGTTTTGTTGGGAGCCCTTAGAATACCGCGTCCCTTTAATCCAGGGCTCAGAGAATAAGATTTGGAACAAAATTAAGCAATTTGAATTTTCAAAATGGTTATGACAGATTCTTTCCAGTTAATCTGATGCAAATCTTCTGTTTCAGCCGCACACTGGTGATGAGAATGTTTCCGATTACTTAACCGAAAATCGAATTCCGGTTCTGTTTCTTGTAATGTTAATCTTACAGTTTTTAGTTATCATTGTCGATCGGGCGATATTTTTAAGGAAACACCTACTTGCTAAAGTCGCGTTTCAATTTTTACAAATAGTGTTTTTGCACATATGGCTTTTTATTCTTTATCCGTTGATAACTGACCGGTACGTTATAAATTTATAACTCTATCCGCTTTACTAGAAAAACAATTGCAGGGTTTTCAACTCCGTGTTAGCTCCGCAAATCTATTATATGGTTAAGTGTTTCTACTTACTACTGTCAGCCTATCAGATTCGATCAGGGTATCCCACGAGAGTTTTAGGAAACTTCATTTGTCGCGGATACAATTACTTCAATTTATTCATGTACAAAGCATTTTTGGCTGTTCCATTCCTGTTTGAGTTACGGATGATAATGGATTGGATGTGGACAGACACGTCGATGACCATTTTTGATTGGATGAAAATGGAGGATATATTCTCGCACATTTTCCAAGTCAAGGTACATATCAGGTTCTTTATCATCATAATTCTGTTACGTTTGACTAGTGTAATCGATACTGTGAGGAGCAATTCCCCCAACCAAGAGGCGAAAAGAAGCCTACAATTATTAAGTATTTGATGGGAGGTGGAGCTTTACTCATAATATTTGTAATTATATGGTTCCCACTAGTATTTTTCGCATTAGGGGACGCTGTAGGTTCATCAAATATTCCGTACTCCGTCACAATGGAGTTGAGAATAGGACCATACGAACCAATCTATCGAATGACCGCACAATCAAATTCAATTACCACGTAAGTTGGCAATCAATTTTCTCTTTGTCTCATTTTTACCACCCTGTTGTAGCTTTCTAGAAAACGATTACAACCGATTACTTGGAGTATACGAGCAAAATAAAAGTGCCCTCACATTCATTTCAAATTATCAACCTTCTGATATCGCAGTAATCAAATTCAGCAAACATTCTGCAGCAACATGGGCGATCTCACCACCAGATCGAAAACGCATGATTGCGGAGTTAAATGCAACATATCCCATACGCATGACTCTTGAATACTTTGTCTCTCATAAGAGTAACACAAAGGAAGACTCTGGAAACATTAGGGAAGAGGTTGTTTCATTGTTAGAGGATTTGGACACCCATCTAGAGTTGTTGGACATGCTAGTTTCCAATGAACTTCGTTCACCAGTTATTTTAAAGTATATGGTACCGCAATTTATCAAAGTCACAAACAAGGGTACCGCAGCTCCTGTAGCTCAATTAATGAGGGTAATTAATGATCCAAAAGATTCAAAGTTCAGGGATATTGAAGTGCAACGTAGAACTGGTGGTAAATCTCAGGAATGGTGGAGGATAACTGAAGTTGCTAATGATACAAATTTCTTAAAAATTCTACAACATATCCCCTACTACAGTGCAGGCGATGTGCAGATCTATTCTTTCAATGAGAAGCTATTCCCTCAAACGTTGAATTTTATTACAGCTGGCGGGTAAGTTATTTTATTTTTGCTACTGGAAACTGCATAGAATGCTCTCAAACTGAATATAGCGTTCCTGTTTTCTGTTTTAATTGTACAGGATTAAAAAGTACAATGGCTTTCAACTGTCGACCGATATTTTTTTAACTAGAAACAGTCCTTCATTATTTGGAATCTGTTTGCAAATTTCCCAAAATCCTTGACAATTTCCATTTCCATATTTACGTTCTTTCGACAAGTAAAATTTTCTTTTCAACAAAGGTGGCTTCAGAAATTTTATTGTACTATACTCTTAGACCATATAGTACATGGACTGCTAATTGTAACTAAAATATGGTCAAGGACATCGCCTGGGTATGTGCGTGTTGAGTGATTAAAATCTAGGTAGCTTTTTATCAGCGATAAGAATGCGTGGAGGAATCACATACCCACGACTACAGTGCCCTCTATCCGTGACCATCCATTTTGTATTGAAAGCATAGGGCGAATTTGTTAAAAGACTATACTACACTGGAATTATATACGACCAATCAGCATGGTGATTGTTTCAAATTAAAACCAATCAGATGATTTGTTGAGTGATTAAAATCTAGGTAGCTTTTTATCAGCGATAAGAATGCGTGGAGGAATCCGTGTAATATATTTTTTGTTAAATTTATTGCCTTTGAGTTAATCTCCCTAAAATACATACTCGTATATCGATGGGATTGAAAACGTCTTTCTCTTTTAGAACATGCAAAAGAGATTGAAGCGTAAGATGTTCTAAAATACAAACGTAAACTGCTACACAAATATTAATTTAATATAATATAATCTTTGCACAGTTGACCTAAACGCCTATCTACATTCAACCGGTGTTTTACCTTACTGTGTCGTATGTTATAGATGGAGCTCCGAATCGCTTTTTGTGTGAAACCATCAACATCGCTAACAGGTTTCATACATTGTTTTTTTAAGACTTTCTAGAGGTTTACCCGAGATTTGTTAAATAGAAGTTACTGTTCGCAGGTTAATATTTAATCCATCTGCAACTCTTTGTGAAATGAAACTTACGTATATGAATTCTTATATTACTAAAGTAATCTTTCTTACTGCTGTGACTGGTAAAAGTGGACCGCCATTATTTCTTTCTCGTTTAAAATAAATTACTTACTTTTTTTTTGTAAACCTAATTCCATTTTTGGGCCAGACAACTCTTGGCGTAGAACATAACAGTGGGACTTACAGAAGTTATGCTTCTATAATTGTTCGTTATCAAACTCTACCCTGAAGGTCATATGTAAAGATTTTTGCTGAACTAAATTTGCATTTTGAGCAGTTTTCAATAGTGACACACTTTCCATATGTCTTTGCCTAATAAAATAATACTATCATGAACGGCTTTTCAATAATAGATGTCTCTTTGTACATTTTCAGCATCATAGGTGTATATACCACCATCGTGCTTGTATTAGGTCGATTACTTCGCACGTTGTTCTCGGGAGTGTGCTTCAAAATTATGTTCGAGGACTTACCGAACGTCGATCGCGTTCTCCAATTATGTTACGACGTTTACTTGGTGCGTGAAACGCGAGAATTTCCATTGGAAGAAGATCTATTTGCGAAACTAATATTCCTATTTCGTTCGCCCGAAACGCTTATCAAATGGACGAGGCCTAAGGAAGAGATGGACGAGAGTGATGAAGACGATGATCCTACCGATAAATGAGATACTAACGTATAAGTTAATGAGATTAATGATGAAGTGGCGATTTACTGCCCTGTCAGAAGTACTACTTTTACAAATCAGGGAAACTACGTGGACCTGAGATTACTTAAGGGAACTTATTTTAAGGGAAATATTCATTTAAGAGTTGTGATGTGCTTGGAAAGTCATTTTACATATATTATAATTTTAAAATATACTCAAAGGTGCACTAGACGGAAACAATTTTTTACTTAGGTGTTATATAGTTTTAAGAAGAATCTGAGGTTTTAATGATTTGAAAGGACCGAAATTAAATTTAGCTATTTATTACAGAAACAGTGTTTAGCATCCCAAGAATGTTTAGATGTGCGAATGATTGCTTATTAGTGGACATACCTTTTACTCTCACGATTGATGGCTGCACTCAGATTTACATATTAATGCAAAAGCAGGTAACCTAAATAACAACTAAAAGACAACCGGTACAATCAAATCAAATCGATAAAAAAACAAATATACTGGTTGTGGATCAGAACTCCTTTTAATAAAAAATATTCAGTGTTGGGGAAGGAATTCATAATATATACTATTTAAACACAAATTGTTATTTTGTACCGGCATTGTATGCTTCTAACAGTTGGTATGTGATCGATGTTTGTAACTTTGTGCTTTCTTATTGTGATGTTTTCAAGATAGTGATTCGCAAGAGGCTAATAATTGTATAATTTGAAGGCTATGTAGATTCCACATTTTCTTATGTTCATTTTACTTAAAACTTCTTTTTTTTTTCAAATTAGGATTACTGGTTTATATACAATACACTTTTTTCGTTTTGCACAATATTAGAAAGAAAATCATAATGGCGGAATTGGTCCAGAATACTTGTACCCAACGAGGTACTATCATTGGATTAAATGGAGATTTATTCAGCGTTCGAGTTACATTAATTTGAACGAGTTAGAGCAAGATTTGTTTGACGAACTAGATCTCACCCTTATTGATTCAATACCAGTTACACGATCTTACCAAAGCATAAAGGTTAATTTTTGACAGTGGCATAAAATAGTGAATGTTTAGTAAATTTATTCTGCATCCGTCAATTGTAGCTTTATTTTTACATTGTACCAATATTCTTTTAATTTAAATAATATACTATATTTTGATTAATTAATTGTTTGTACAAAGTAGTATTTTATATCATTGTGATAAATATATGCACTTGAAATATGTTCTTTTTAATAATGTAATAATATAAATATGGAGACGCGAAATGAAAAATACGCTATGGTATAAAAGAAAAATTAATTAGGAATCTAATTATTAATATAAAATTACATTGATAAGAAACAAATTCCAATTTGATAGAAGTTTATCAGGAACATATTGAGTAAGACTTATTTAAAAAGGCTCTATACCAAGGAAAATAAGTTAAGGCATAAATACTGCGCATGCACACACCTGATGTTTTAAATATGCGATACGTTTGCCTTTACTAATAGTTGTGGTCAAAATTTCAAGAAAGTAACTCCATAAATTAGAAAGTTGACTGCGCATGTGCACATCTGATTTTTTCATTATGTGATATGCTTATATTTACTAGAAATATCTGTTAAATCGGTTAAAATATTAAAAAGTATCTCCATAAACAACAAAGTTACCTTTGCGCATGCGCAAATTAATCGTCTAAATTTTTCTTGGTTTAGCTGCCGGAATGCAAAACGAACAAACTAAACATTTTGAAAACTGCAAGAGTATTGTTGAGGCCTCAGACGTATGGAGAAAGTGTAGCGCCTTCCAACATGAGTTGGAAAATCGCTAAAAAACCAGGAAACGTACGTTCAGTACGTACATGTGTTGACGATTATTCTTAAATTACAGATGAACTAGTGAATTTCTCCAAAACTTCCTACATGAATTAACATCTGTATGACCTATTAGATAGACCTAAAAAATGTGAACTTCACTATGACTGATAAAGGTTTGTTCATAGTTTAAGCACTCAAAGAGATTGGTTTTATGGTGCTCTTCAAGAGCATGGATTTTAAATACCCAGATAATTTCCCTATGAACCAGCATACACAAAATCAGGGTGAGAGATTGTCTTTTAAATAAATTATGCATGAAGTTGGCAGAGTAGCATCATTGTGTATATAAGGTGTATATACAATGATGGCATCTACATACCACCCACTTAATTTTATGTATTGCTTGAATGTCTCCTGTTATTAATTAGGTACCTGAAGGTGACATGACTGGGGCACTGACCAACAAAGAAAGTGCTTTGAGACCAACCTGGATGTTATGGTAAATAGGGTTTTTCATTGGCTTGAGTCACAGTGTTTGATATTGCAGGATAGACAAGCATAGGGGTGCACATGATCAGAGCAGACTACGTGTACCTTTCCACATACATACAGAAAAATCAATCCAACACATTGTATCCAGCAACCTAAGTAGGCGTGGATAAAGTTGGAGGAATATTCACCCTCAAAAAATTGGCTCTGAACTACTATAATTCTTGGAAAATTTGATACAGCAATAGGTATATGCTGTGTCCAAGATAAAGATGTCTATCATAGGGATCTCTGAAACCATAAATGATACAACGATGATCACATTAGGGCAACACACAAAAAAAAACAAAAGTTTGAAACTTCCACCACTTATTATTGAGCTGGCGACGGTAAATAAAAATGCGGCTATATTAGGGACACTGCACTGTCATCGGTTGGCCGTTTTAACCAATGAGGGTGCAGCACGTTTTTATTTGCTGCCGGATGTGCAAACGGCGCGTCGCCACAGGGTGCAAAGATAGGATAGGAAACTCACCACGACATTCTAATCATATTTTTTATTGACTTTCCCAATTCGACTAGTAGACTATTATTGCAATTTTTAAAATAGACACTACCAAATTAACAAAACATAAATAAGGATTAATATTATATTGCAATGTATAAACTATAGTTAAAGTGTGCGGTCATGGGAATTAATTGCTGCTACCAACTGCCTATATCCATCAATATACGTCATAGATTCTCGGTACGTTTTAGGGAATATCTCTTTAACATTGCTTACTGATTCGTATGTGAAGTGAAAAGTGTTAGACGTAAAATTTTGCGCGGCTTTTGTGTCCCACGTGTTGGTATGGACGCTGATCTGATAAAACTTTCCCTTCGTGCAAACAAGATAGGCGTGCATGTGTATTAACGAATTGAGGGAAATTGGTTTATTGAAGTTGATATCCGATATTGTCTTAAATAGTGGTCGAGAATTGGTGAAAAGGTATCCCAATCCGAAGCTCACTTCCAACGCCGCGCGCATGATGAAACCACCGAAAACGTTATTGTGCAAATTTCGATGCTCGGGATGAACCACTATTAAATTTGACAACGTGTATTTTTCCATCCAGTCGCAGTTCGAAGGTAGTACTTGTTTTAAAAACACACCTTCATTGACATTTAAGGTGCGCATAAAGAGCTCGTGAAGTATTTCCTGTTCTTTTTCGTTCGGAATAACCTTCGTTAGTTGCTTGGCGAGAGTACGAATTCTTTCTTCTTTTCTGATTTTGCCGCCGTCGATTAATTTTTGTTCTTCCGGTGTTGTAGCTTTAACCGCGTTGATTATAGCCGCTTTCATGGTGGTGGATTCTCGGACTGCCATCATAAAAACAGCGCTCAACAGTAAATGACTTTGTTTGCCATCCAATTGCTCTAACCATACTACCACTTCTAAAGAAGAAGTCCCTACCCAAGTAATGTGGCCAAAAATTCGTATGTCCTTATCATGCTGGAAAAAATTTAGATGATAACCCTCGACAATCTTGATAAAGAGGGGTTGAACAGAACATCAAAGTGTTAAATAAATGGCGTGTACAGGAGACCAGTGACAATGACTTGGACTCATTTAATTGTCACAAAAAGGTTAATATATCGTTCCAAGTTCACTTCACCAGTACCACCAGTGTATCACACAATACACCACCTATTTAACACCACCAAAAGTATTCGACTTTAATTTTTTAAGTAACGGAAGGCTTTACAACGTTAAACGCTTTTGCTTTATCCAACTCTATGTGCCTGATGTATACCTTTGTAATGACAGAGGTTAAATTAATTTTATCCACAAGAACTGTAACTACTATGTATGGAGTGGGCTCGTTTTTTGGCATCTTTGGATTGAGTATATGCCTCAAACACACATAAACTAAAACATGTACGTTATTTCAAAATGACTAATGTAATTTGTTAACCGGCAAACATATCCATATCCTCAAGCAATCGCCCAATTCGGATGGTGCCCATAATTGCAGTGTATTTAATACGTATTTGCGGATCACTCGATAACGGTATGGTTGCGTACACAAAACTGTCATCTATTGTTCTTATTGGTAATTCTTTTTGATTTTTTGCCATGAACTGGGTTAATTTTTTTCGAGATTGAAATCCTGTATCGTGAGGATCGTAACTTTTGTTGTCGACACCCATTATCGTTTCCACTTCCGTCGCCACTAAAATCATCGAGTGAGTAAATTGGGAACTCTTGCGTGAATTATACCATGATCCATTGTACCAACATTAATTGCTTTAGTTCGATCATTTTTGTGTAGAATAGATCTAATTAATACTAATGCTGAAATCTTTTTTCTTATGCGCCCAAAAGAGACTTACCTAACAATTATTTGCATAGCGAAATTACAAGGTTTAGGTCTACGTATATAATTGTTAATAAAGAAGTAAAGACTCATGGTCGTAGGTTTTATCTAGTTGCCAAAATTGTCAATTTCGCTGACAGCTTAGGGCATGGCCTGAGCTTTTTATTAATTATTTTTTACTAGGGAAAACATTCAAGGTCATAGGTCCTTCCTGATTTCCTTCATTGCCTTCGTCCAGTCAGGTTTGAGATAGTCCACATGATTAGCATAAAAGAATCAAACCTGTAGTACCCATATTCGGTCCCCTTCTCTTTTCTTCGGCCAATTGGCATCACTTTTTTTTCTTTTGCACTATAGTACATTATGCAAAATACCTAGTAAATGATCCTTCCATTATTGTGTAGGTATTTGGCGCCTTCCGCCTGTGTACCTATGCAAAATTACCTCATTCCCATATCAGAATTTCTCGAAGTATAGCCAAATATCTTTTTACATGTAAGTACCTAACAATTTAAAAGGCAATTTTCATTGTACTTCCAGAACATCTTGCAATTTATTAGGTAAGTGAATACTGAATGATAACTGCAGTTTAGCACCAATTCAAACCTTATCCTGCCTACTCCAGAAAACTGCTCAATAAAATTTTTTGAAATTTAATTGCAAATATATACCTAGTTATACGGAAGTGAGAGAGGTGATTTTTATTATCTGCCATACCCTCTGAAAAGGACTGCAGGTATACCTCTAGTTAAGGACGAATGTCCACAAAGTTGCATCAAACATTTGATGATAAGTACCACTACATCATGCTTAGTATGACTGTAAAATCAAAGGGGACATATACATTCTGAGCTTAAAAGTGCTTCAGGAAAATGTCTTTAAATCAAAAAATTGGATATGAGCATGATGTCTGCACATTAAAATTACTAGGTCTACCAATGACAAATTTTGACACTTTATATAGTTATCATCACGATATTCACACTTGAAATTTTTATGCCACAAAAACTTCAAGTCCGCCTGGTCTTTCAAGATATCAAGTAAATAGGTATATTGCAAAACATTTCAGAACTTTAAAGAGTGCTTAATGCCGCTCTGCTCGGATGGACAGATGACGGACGGACAGAACGCAAACAAAGGTGTATTAGACAATTTGGTTTGCTAAAAATGCGCGTGGGGAACTAAAGAAAGACGTTGAGGTTTAAAAAAATCATGGATTAGGTATAGCTCCAAGTTTATTTTGAGGTGACTGTCCTCAAAACGCCTAGTGAATAGGGACAGTTGCTTTTATTTATCAATTTCAATTAGGATATTAGTGACTAAGGTATAGAGATCGCGCCGACGTTGACCTCTACCTGTTATCGCTTTTGACAACAGTTTGTCGTGCAGTAGTTGACGAAAGTTTACGGTGCGGTGCATTTAGCGTCAATCTAATGGTAAATGAAGCGAATGGTAATGGTTCTTCCTTTCGAAAGACTGAACTAGAAGGACAAGGGTGAGTCTTTATTTTTGTTTAATTAGGGTGCATGTATAAACTCACTATACACCTCAAAAATTACGGAAATGTGATATACGTCCCCTATTTAAATAATTTGTGTTTTTTTAAATCTGCGTTCCACCGTTGGAGCGTACAAAAGCGCAACAACCGAGGTGACGCACACCTTACTTTCTTTAGCAAAATCTTCACAACGTGCGTGTTTTTTTTACTACTATTAGTACTAAATAAAGCTAAATCTTGTTGCTTGAATACAATCTGAAATTGCACATTGTTTTAAGTAACATGGTTGGTTATGAAAACTTTTTTAAGCACCACCATGGGATTTGGCTTCGTGGTCCTGGCGGGTCACTGGTCTGTAGCGCTTCCTTTTACCCCTCAGGACGACTCAAAATTTGGCACAATAAGCTACCTATTCGAAGATGCCCAATTTATTCCAAACGAGGCAAAAACTACCGACTAATGAGATTTAAAAAATACGCTCAATACAAAATATGGGAGAGTGAGGACGAGTTAAGGCCCAAAAAAGACTTGCAAATCTTGAGTGGCTTTGGAAAATTTAAGTCTCGCAAAGTTGACTCATTTCATTGTTTCATAAGCCTTTAAAAACCACACACTTTAAACTTTCTGAGCTTAACAATGCTTCAGGAAAATCGCCCCTCAAATCAAAAATTAGTTATCGCGATATTCATATAGGTCCAAATTTTTATGCCACAAAACCTTGAACGCCGTTTGGCATACTTTCAAGATAATGAATATAAATAGGTATATATCGCAGAACTTTAAGGCCCATAAAGCCGAAGTGAATGGGAATCGTTCTTCATTTCGAGAAACTGAACATAGAGGGGTAGAGTGATATTTTTTTATTTTTGTTTAATTAGAATGCATGTATAAGCTCATTTCTTTTCCAAAATCTTCTCAATTGCATTTTACAGATAATAAGATGTTAGTCAGTTGATAGGTATAACAGGATCAAAAACTATTTTGCTTGAGCTACTATCCCTAAACAATTCCTGTTAAAATACAATTGAAAATTAGGTCTGAAGGTGGCTTTATTGCCTTGCGCTGGTCCCTAAGGTACGCCTTGGTTCTGTATCCCCATATCGACGGCTTCGAGCCATTTTGACAAGCATCGCACGGTAATTCATAAAAAAATTTCATAATTGCTTGGGATTGTTATGGTCACTTTGAGCAAACGTAACAAAATTACCTTGAGATAAGCACACGATAATCTCAGTCGAAGTAGAGGTAAATAATATGGGTACACCAGCCAAAACGAAGCAAAAAGAAATATACTTAGTAAACAATATCAAAACACCGAAAACAACAGAATTACTACTCAAACAAATATAGTACTTAATTAGTTACATTTAGATTGTATCAAAAACCAGTATAGGTATAATCAGACGTTAGGTATATGGAGTCGTCGATAAAATAAAAATATTACTTTTGAACTACAGGTTTCAACCTTTTCGAGCTCATAAAGCGCGCCTTTTTGCCTTATCTGAAACATGAAAAAAAAACAAGAGTGATAGTGAATAGCGCGGCGTATAAATATTGCGACAGCAAATGTCTAACGTTCGACACTAATTAAATCAGGTAGGTAACTCGAATCCTAAAACTAATCTCAAGGATACAAAGTAATCAAACTAACATGAATGAGTCTTCGGAATGATAAAAGTAACGTAGACGAAATTAAAGTATTGGAAGATATTCTTCGTAACGATAAAAATGTTGAGTCAAGTGTACATATCTGCCTCACAGCTGACTACTTGCACAAATAAATCCGCTAAGCGTATTCAATGGAGTAGCCACAACACATCAGAAACAAGAGAGAAAAACTCCAAAGAACTATGATAGGTAATAGCCACTAGCAAGTTTACCTACACATTTGGTATACTTCTTGTTCTTATACTAGTGCATATTTATCAATAACGAATTAATTAATTAAGCTAATTTTATTAAAAAATAATAAATTTCAACAATTACATACATTATTAAAATTATCAATAAAATGGCCTTACGAACAGTTTCCCGTTAAGGTGAGCTATATGAATATCACAAACATTCAGAGATTAGTTCAGTTGTATCTATTAAAAGTACCTACTTACATTAGTATTTGCAAAAATGAATTTTTCTATTGAGCCAGAGATAATTAACAAAAATTTAAATCGTGCCCGCATGACTTTTTCGTATAAAATGTGCAGGCGATTTTGCCACGTTAAATTACAAACTTATTTCGTACCATCAGTATTTTTTGCGTGAACGTAATCATTGACATTGTCGTTTGAAGTCATGACATTGTAAAAATGTCTTCTCCCATCAATATACATCATCGCATCTTGATAGGAACGTGGAAAAACCTCCGGAACCTGATCAGGTACTTCATAAGTGAAGTGAAACGTATTCGAAGTTGCAGTCATGCCCGAACCAGAGTCCCAACATTCTGCATATACCGTAACCTGAATATACTGCAACTGTGTAAAAACTACATAGGCATGCATACGAATTAACGAACTAACATCAACTGGTCGATTAAAACTAATATTGCTAATACTTTTAAGTGCAGGCCGGTATTTACTAAAAATATAGCCTAAGGCCCAACTTAACTCCATCGCTTGCCGCATAAGAAATCCACCAAACACCTTGTGGTGCAAATTTCGGTCTTCCGGGTGCGAAAAAATTATATTCGACAGAGTGCAGTCTTCCATCCATACGCATCCGGCGGGTAATTTACGGCTTTTTAAGCTGACTTCATCTACACTCCGTACGAAGAGGCCATGTATAATACTTTGTTCCTCGGCGTCTGGAATGACCTTGGTCAAGTGCTGGCTCTGTTCCAATTTCCTCTGTTTCTTTCGCGTTTCGCCACCGGCAAGAATCTCTCGCTCTTCGTCTGTGGTAGCGATTAATGGATTGATTACGGCGGCCTTCTGTGCCATGGGATCGCGGGCGGCTATTAGAAAAAGTGCCCTCGTTAACTTCCGCCAAACTCCGTGCGATTTCTGCTCTAACCAAACCACTACTTCCATTGATGATGTTCCCACCCAACTCACATGACCGGACAAACGAATATCTTCATTGGGCTAAAACATTTCAAACATTAATAGGTACTTAACGTTTGTGTAAGAGATAGCATCACTTATTGTTAGTTAGCAAGGCTGAGTATTTTTTATTAATGATCTCTATGCTTTTTTTTGGGGCTGGCTTTTCTTTTCTTAATATGTCATGCAGAAACCTATTCCTTCGCGTACGTTCAGGAAAGAATATTTCTACTGCAGAGGGTACTGCCGTGTCGTAAGGACTAAACAGCTGCAGTCGTTCAGCACCCCTGATTCATCGGGGGAAAAAAAAAAAAATTTGAGCATACATTCCTGATTCACAATAACTTGGCACCAGTAACTTTTTTGTGCACCTATCTTGTTTATACGGGGCGATAAGATTCTAGAATCTAGATTAAACGGCAACCGGTAAAAAGTTTAAAGACGATTAATTGTGCTTTTGTTAGCTACCCTAAGTATAAAAAGGAAATTTGCAATTGGTCAACTATTCCAGTGAAGTAAACAAAATTTAAACTACATGGATCTACGCGTGTAACACAACGGACACCGCGCATCCTGACAGCACAAGGCATGCTACATTTCATAAGTTGTCTGAATATTAAATCACGAGTGTCTCCATTTTTTGTACCTATACCAACCATATTCACATTGTATGTTGTTGTCCAGTAGGTAAATGGATTGCTTTTTTTAAATGTCTTAAACATTACATTTGTAAAACAAAAGGTGCATCGAGTGCCGGGTAAACCTGAAGAGATGCTGGAAGTTTCAATGTGCTCGGATAGATCGTAATGTCACATATAATATTATTTGACAAGTATCTCGCGAAATAAAAGAGATATTGAGGTGACCTTATCTCTAACGGACTGTGTATCAAAGATAGAGCAAATATGATTAAATACCTAAATAGTTCACTATCAGTATAGATTATTAAGAAATAACCAATAGAAACAAAGCTTTATTGTGTATGGGTAACCAATACATAGTCCATTATGAAAGTAATGAGCATGTTTTTATTGTGACGCGACTATATCCTTTGCAGCGTGCGGCTTGGAAAGAATGCAACGGAGACATTCCAGATGCTTCAAGAAGCATTCAAGGACGACTGCATTTCAAGGTCACAGTCCGGGATGTGGCACAAGGCGTTCAAGGAGGGTAGGAGCGAGGTCGCCAATGAACCCCGTTCTGGAAGTGCAACAACGGCCAGAACCTACGAAAACGTTAATCGTGTGCGCGAAGTTTTGCGATCCTACCGTCGCGTCGATTAAGCATCCAGCACATCGTTGACACCCTAAACATGTTCACATTTGCGGTACATGACATCAAAGACATGGTCAAGCTCCACCATGACAATCCTGGCCCTTAGCAGCATCCCGGTGGTTCCCCAACCCCCTTCCAGTCCCAACTTGACTCCGAGAGACTATTTTTTGTTTCCTTGACTGAAGAAAGAGCTGAAAGGAACGCACTAGGAGTCCGTGGAAAAGATCCAAAAGAATGTTACAAGGTTCCTAAAAGAGGAGGACTTTCAGGGTGCAATCCAAGCGTGGAAAACACGTCTACGCAAGTGTATTGATGCAGGGGGAGAGTATTTCCAGGAATTTTAAGCATTTGTACCGGTACGATTAATGAAACTATTTTTCCCCAAAAATGCTCATTACTTTCATAATGGACCCTGTAATAGTATTTTATTTGTTACTCAGTTGTAAACGTTGATTAACAAGACAAAACGCAAACTGATAAACGTCATCTTTAAACGCTACTGACTTGTAAAACTGACAGCTGACCTGTAAAAATTTTACAAGTTAGTAATCTAGTAATTTCATTGGCCAGATTTAATGCGAAGTCTCTGTTACATGGATAATATGATATTTTAGACATTTCTTCGAGATCAATTTAAGAACTAATTATTTACGTTTACAAATGAGTAACAAATAAAATATTGTACATTATACGCCAGGTAATAGTTTTTACTGGCTCTAGGAGATGACAGGCTCGCCTGACGGCTCGCCAGTCAACTTCTCCTATCGCCAGTAAAAACTCACTTACTTACCTGGCTAATAATGTAAAATACTATTACATTATTAGCCAAGTAAATGAGTTTTTACTGGCGATAGGAGAAGTTGACTATCGAACCGTTAGGAGAGCTTGTCATCTCCTAGAGCATCATGAATAATCAAAGGTCTTACTTAAATAACTCAGTAGACCAGCATAAAAGCGAGAAGTCGACAATCCACACTTAACTTCAATTAGGTACCTATGCAGTTTGCTTGGTATAATAAACTCATGCCTGTAGTAAAACCTTAGTCAATAACTACCTATTGACAATCACAATACCTACCTACTGTTTGACAACTGTTCAAAGTATTACAGGCAGGGGAAATAAGCAACCCAATATACTAAATCACTAAAAATCGAACACAAAGGTGCTACAGTAAAGTGTAACATATTATATTATTTTGAACCTACTTGAATTTATTTAGTCATACATGGTTTTAACACATATCAATTGTAAAATTAAGTGTATATTTACTATTTGCCCTTTTGCCTGCCATCAACCCGTCATTTTATTGCATATTATCGCGTTTTTCATCTTAAGTGCCTAGTGCGAGTGAACTTGGTAAAACATCTGAAAATATAGCGTGAACAATTAAAGTTTTTTGTCCGGAATATGTTTAACAGGGATCACTTTTTGTTTACACAAACGATTAGGTATACTTCTTGTGAAGCAAGACAGGCTTAACTGGTATAATGCTACCAAAACAGCAATTATTGGAATTGAAACCCTGACTTTTTTTCACAAATATAATGATTCACCCCATTTAGATATCCATCACCATTTCTCATCAATCTTTCCATCACATGGATGGATCACAAATGATCAAATGCAGATTTTGAACAAATATGATGTCTAATAGGCAAAAAATCCAAATTTTCAAATTTAATGAAAAGAAACTCAATGTCAATACCGAAATAAATTATTACCTACTTTTATACACATTTGTTGTTATTTTTAATAATTGCTTCAAATTCTAGGCAAAACTTCTATATGTGACTGTGATTTTTGGATGTGGTGTGGCTGTTTATTTTTTCTTTTCATATTCCTTTTTATCTTTAAATACCTAACGCTACGCAAATGTAGCAGTAGTGTTTCCACTATTCAGTTAAATAGCCAAGCAACATTAATACAAGCAGTAGCACGTTCAAAAATTTAAAAGTGTAACAATGTAGATCTGTGTGTACCACAAATTTGCACTACCTATGTTAATAGCAATGTATAGACGTAACATAAACAAGCTCTAGCACTCAGACAAGTATATATGATGGAGTTCTATTCTGTCGGTATGTAATTCTTTAGGACTCTCATAAAGTTTATTGTTTGAATAAAAATCCTACATCGATCGTATGTACACACTTTGCCACTTGTGAAAATAACAATGCAAGCATACTAACATTAATTACTTACTTGACACTGGTTGATGAAAGAGAAAAAAAGAAGAAAAATGTTAATAATTAGATAATAATCATAGAGAACAGATGTAATCACCTACCTTCGGCAAATAATCGGTAAAATCAATTTTATCAACTAGTGCAGTTACAAGAGAGTACGGTGAATGCTTTTCTTTGGGTTGCTTAGGATTCAATATATGCTTTTGGGCAACGTACACTAAAAATGCAACACTGCTGTATTATCACGCACAGCTTAAATATATCTTACCAGCAAAAATGTCCATGTCTTCCAAAAGGCGGCCGACTCTCACATGCCCTAGGAACGAAACATACTTATCCTGTAATTCTAAATCACTCGAAAGCGGTATTAGAGCGGACACAAAACTATCACTCATCGTTCTGTCCGGTAGCTCCTTTTGCTTTGTGGGTAAATACTGCAGCAGGTGGGTACGACTTATTGTTTGGTTAAGAGGTTTATATCCACATTCTACACCCATCCAAGCGGCTAATTCTTCTTTTACTATTCAATAAGTGGACGCTAGTTAATTTTGTAGAGGTTCGTCGTACTTACAGTGCTGAATCGTGCCAGCGGTTGCGAGCTGAGCGTTGGGGTCGTGCCGCGAGCCAGTGTAGTAAAATTTCCATTGCCGACTAAATAGTGACCAATGACATTTGAATTGTCGCAGTTCAACTTACCTCTTAAAACAGTTATTGAGAGTGTACTGTCTACAAACGTCTCTGGCATAACAGAGCCTTCGAAGCACATTAAGAGACATTTTAATATTTCTTGTAATAAACTTTTATTAATTAGTTTCAAGCATAGGTAATTCGTTTCATTTACAAACAAAAATGTACAAGTTCATTTAGCATAAGTATACTAATGCGTGCTTATCATAAATGCATGTATAGGTGGGATACAAGAAACTGTGGTGGGGCACATTACATCCGATTACATCATATCATTACATTACAGTGACTGACAGAATTAATGACACTGGAAACATTAACATAGTCAGTGGTTGCAAATACATAAGGCTACAGCCACAGGGGGAGCCTCTGTGATCAGTACCTTTATGAAGGCATAAGGTTAATTTACTCCACGGATTAATGAAGTTTTTACATATTTCTCAAACCACCAAATCATATTTTCCGTGCTCACAAATCAGTCACAATTTTTTTTTAATTTTAATATTCAATGGGCCATTGATATATGAATAAAAATTCAAAGTAAATACTTGTAAGAGTGCTCCTTCACACTGGGCGACTTGGCAGCGCTGCTGAGCAGCGGAACGGGACGCAGTGCAGGGCTGCTGAGCAGTCCAGTGTGAAGGGGCACTTACGAGTATTTACTTTGAATTTTGCAAGTAAGCACCTTTTATTGATATGGGCCATTGTCTTAGTTGCACTCCATATGCTGATTGATTTACACTATGTGGAAGCACTGGAACTGCCGTACTCGTTGAAGTTACAATAAATAAAACGAAAAGTCGTCGAGAAAAGCATGACGATTTGGTTTGAGGGCAACTCAAAGAGAACTTGAGATGGCGATGTCAAAGAATATTGAAGAGAATTTGAGGTGCAGTTTGTGGTGACAAACCGCTATTGTTTGGTACACTTTACATCCGAAACGCATTGTGTAGGTATACAACAATCGTGATGCACATAGTATTTATAGTTATTGTATTCACATAGACAGTTCCTTAACTCTTCACTGTATATGTTACTTCCTGATCTCGTGCGGACTGAAGCTTTTGTATCTTAGCAATACGAGAATAAGGGGGGCTGTCCTAATTAAAATTTTGAAACCGGTATTAGTTTGACTTTGCCCAGTAACATAGTCAGGCCACTGCTAGCGTAGCGTTTACAGATAATTGTAACAGTGTAGGTTTTGTTTTAATCCAGAACAACATTGCTAATCATAGTCTACAACATAAGTGACGCCTCTTTTGTCTAGTACCAAGTCATTTTGTTCTTGTGCTCTAGGATCATTTTTCCAACAGCTTATGAGAAACGCAACACACGAAGTGGTTACTCTGGATGCTAATCCTCTACACTTTCTTTCAAGACCTTTTGGATTGGTGTCAATACTAAATTTACACGAATGCATTGTTTATAATTATATTTGTTAACACTATAAAACACATTTTATCTTTACAATGATTTTTCAAGCTAAAGCTATGTGTCACTGTTCAACAGGCACCGATTTGAATCAGTTTGATTGGATATCTAACCACTAGTTCCGAAATGTGCACCTAAACCTATTTTATACTTACGAGTAAATTGTAAAAATATTACATAATCAGTCATTTGGTTACAGTTAAGTACATCTGATGACTTATTTAAGATAAAAAAAAGACATATCACATCTAATGGAGAAAAAAACGCGCTGCCTGTCTTAAAAATAGGAAAGCAACCGAGAGTAATAATTATCACTATTACAATTATTAATCTACCTAACTCTACGTAGTTAAAAATTGTAGAACGTAGTTGTAAGTAGGTAATTAAATACGTTAACACATATAAATATATCCTAAGCTACCCCAATTGACTGGCTGACGTAATGATTGACAAACGTTTTATTACGACTTGACTATAAAGATGTGCCACATTCGCACGGCGAATATTAATGTGTATAAAGCATTACCTCTCTGAATTTTGGAAGTACAATCAAATACAATAATTACACTATACTGAAAATGTGTTAAGCATTAAAATAATGAGCAAAATTCTTCTATAGGGGAAACTTTATGCGCTTGAAAATTGAATTCGACTTTCAAATACATTAAAGTGCACCCATCGTAAACGAAACATTGCACACACATGTGGCAAATATCGTAATCGAAGGAACTAAGAGGATCATGTAGCTAACTTAACATAAACGAAATAGGAAGATTATTAAGCTGCATTTCGAATAGTATTCCCTAATTTTAAGTTGTGTGCCTCTTACAAACATTTTTTGAGACAATGACGATTATTGCCTTACATAATATCGCTTATTATGCAAAATTTTATACTTCGAGGGGGGGGGGGGGAATTGTTTTACCAAACTATGTACAAATTTAAAATATATAATATAAACATATCAACCGCTATATAAATTCTATCGCAAAAACTTGTACTTTACCGTTTCCTAGCAACAGCCTTAACATATCTAATTAACACAGCTGGCAATGTAAAGTTGAAACCGTTGTTTAGTAGATGTCATTGGGACTTCATACTAACCAGTTTTCTACTTCTAGCACGCACCTCTTGCCGCGTATTTGTGTATTCGAACCAAAGCACGTTCGGTATGAGTGTCGTGTCGCGCAACAACAGAAATTCCGAAATTTTCCTGAAAGAATAATTACAGAAAAAAGGTACCGTCGTAACGGACGCTCACCAGGTGACGATTTGTGGAAACAATGGCGTAAATACGAAATATGTTAGCGCAAACCAGAACGTTGCGAATACTACGCCCACCAAAGCGCCGCAGAGCACTTGACTTATGGAATGATACTCTAAATAAATTCTACTGAAGCTGACTAGTAGCGCTACTAATACGGATGACGAGATAATTAGTAACTTTGATACATTCTCGATAATCGTGTTGTTGTTCATATGGTGAAGCCTGTAATGACGAAAATGAACACTTTGGTCTAATTGTAACTGTAAGTTATGAAGGCATAAAGGGGCTGCACAGATTTTTTTTGTAGCCAGATTCTAGTGTTCCAATTTGGAGTTTACATTACAAGTGCCCATTGTCTTAATTTTTAGTTTACCATGAATTGACATATGTGAATGTAGGTAAGCATTTTCAGAAAACCAAAACTCTTCTTTTTTTTAGTTTTATAAATGTGAAAAACATTAATACAAGTGACAATATAAAATGGCGAGCAATAAATTAAAGAAAAATCAAATTAATAAACGAATTAAAAAAAACATAACCGATCCATTAATACTAAAACTAAAAATATTAATAGAAATTGCTACTCCCTAATCATTGCATAAAAATTCACTATAAAACATTTTTGTTATATGGACATTTGGGTTTAAGCCTAATTTTCGTTGAATGCATTATGTGCAGTCCTAATTAATTATAATTTAAAAGAATGGCATGTAGAATTTGATGCGCTATTTAATTATCTACTTATGTTTCATAATTTAATCCCCAAATGTCTACATTGAATTGTGAATTTATTTATTATCCTTCTGATGGTTTTTTAATTTTAAATTGATGTTAAAAGACTAGTAAATAGTAATAATGATAAAAATAATATCGATAGTTATCGAGTTATGAATATTATGGCCTTTGTGGTACAGTTGAGTTGAAGCTTGACTGTGGTCCCTGGTTTGGACATAGATATTTGTTGGGTTGGTAAAGGAGCCCTTGGCTGAATCCACGTGCACTCAAAAATAAATAAATATATCCAAAAAAAATTCCACTGCTCTTCCACTTAACCCATCTAACTAAATTGTATACCAAAATGAAAATATATAAATAAAAAATTAATTAACAATATACATGTGGTCTATTAAAAATGACCAAAGTATCTCAAAAGCTCTAAATAGACAAATCACTTCATGGAACGTATTTAAAAGGCTCTGGAACGTGATGAAAAATCTGGAAAGCGTTGTAAAGATCTGGAAAGACTACTTTTCAGGACGCTCTAGCACCATCTCAATGATAGCTTTTTAGCCTTCCATCAGGATTGTAGTTCCCTTCATTCCCACAGCTTAAGAACATTAACAACAAATTGCAAGGGTTTAGAAAAGTTATAGATCACGGAAGGTAATCTTTAAAACAAAAATACAGAGCTTATAAACTCCAAATTGAGACTTCAGTCTTTGAATTCGAAAGTCAAAGTTCGATGTCAGAGCATTAACTTTGATGTCTGACACAAGCAACTGTGGTCCTTCTATGTCTTCATAGCGAGTTACCTAATGAAGACAAAGTATATGATGTACGTTGCAAAAAACCAAACGAACTGAGCATGCGAAGATGGCATTCCATATTCGACCATATCATCCGGTCGCAACTTCGGTCTAGCCTCACATATCGAGTGCTTTAATAAATAATTGAAAGCCTCCGAGCACAAAGTTCCTACGAAGAACGTGATCTACAACTCAACCGATTACCCTTCCATCCCACTTCGACTGAATATACGTACTGTATGTAAATCTCTTCGAAATAGTATTAATGTTAAAAATCCAGACCCGATTCCAAAGGGGGTTAGACTAATTATAGCTAATAATTTTCCTAGGATATCATCTGGAAAATTTCGGAAAATGTAACACTTAAGTATTACAGGCATCGGAATATTACCTTTTGGATATTCGACTAATGTTAGTGATAAAGGAACCCATTTAGTTTTGTCATTTTCTTTTAAAATTTTTGAAAAATAATTTTCGTCCCCATCTGATAACGCCATTTTGCATATTTTCACAACTCGTATTTTGCTTTTACGATAAGGGACCACAGAATACAGTGCCACAGAAGCAGATCATATACACAGAGTCTGTGATCATATACTACTGTAGCGCTTAAACGACTCTTTTATGAACTACTTATAGGCATTATGGCCGTGGTGGGTATTTTCAATAAATCTATTACATGTAAAGAGTAGCATTCTATGAAAATCGGTTGAAATGCTTCATATTTCGCGCTTCTTTCATCTTTTTCAAGATAAGTTCTAAACTATGCGCTTTGTTAAAAAAAACATGTCCTATACGCGTTCTTAAAGACGTAGACTAAAATTGCTCCAATTTGAGACTAGAACCAATTCTGTGGGTTCAATACTTACCGAGATACAACGCTCCAAACATTGACAATTTGGCCCATTAATTAATAATTTAAGTTTCTTGTTATGGCAAAAAATCGAAAAATGGAGAATGCACTGGCGTTCGCTTATTTGAAGTGCGCGTAACTAAAAATGCATCTGAATGGGTGTTTTGCATGTAATAATGCCTCATGAAAAATGTAATGCCAACGTGCGCAATTTCATGTAAATGCACCAATGAGAAACTACTTGCAATCGGTGTATGTTTGGTGAATGCGCCTATCGCGTGAAAGTTGAACGTAACCCGGTACTGGTTCGGTCAAAAAAATTAAACTTGACAGTTTTCTTTTTGAAAGTGACACCAGCATCAAAATGGTAAGGATTTTAATTTTATTTTTCAATTCTTTTTCATCCGAAAATACCAAAGTCATCGACTATGTTTTAATATTTGCCAACGTTTAGACTTTCTGTCTGTGACTTTTTATAGACTATTTACCGAAATAAATTCTTCTAACATTTTTCTAACCTAAAAAAAAATGTACAAAACTACAGCATATTTCTTTACAGTCGCTCGTAATACCAGAGAAGTTCCAGCATATTCTTCGTATCATGAGTACGAATATCGACGGTAAAAGGAAGGTTATGTTTTCATTAACCGCCATCAAGGGAGTGGGTCGAAGGTACGCAAATATCGTACTAAAGAAGGCAGATGTAGACTTAGACAAACGTGCTGGGGAATGTACTGAGGAGGAGGTAGAGAAAATTGTTACAATTATGTCCAATCCTCGTCAATATAAAATTCCCGACTGGTTCCTTAATAGACAAAAGGACATTGTCGATGGAAAATACAATCAGGTATGTTGAGAACATGATTAATTGTGTGAAGAACTTCTTCAATGCGTTCAATCAGTTCTTTGTCTTGTTCTTTCTCAGTGGCACAGTAAAACGACATCTCATTTCTGTAATGTACATGTTGGTAGCCTGTGCAATATTATAACATTATCATCATCAATGGAAACTTTAAAACAGAAATTTTACTATGTGAATCAGTTAGAAATCCGTGAAGCATTAAAATTTATGTGCTGTTTCCATTTTTGATAATGTTACACATACATTTGAAACTTTCTGTGTGTGGCTAACTAATTGTATTTCAGTTGATGTCTTCATACCTTGATTCGAAATTGCGTGAAGATTTGGAAAGAATGAAGAAAATCCGTGCGCATAGAGGTATGCGTCATTACTGGGGTTTACGTGTCCGTGGTCAACACACGAAGACCACTGGACGTCGTGGACGTACTGTTGGTGTATCTAAGAAGAAGTAAACCTTTCATTCTGTATTTTTACATTATTTAATAAACTGTTAAAGTCAGGCAGGATTTGTTTCTTAATATGCATGAGGTTTAATTTTAGTTCTTTTTTTTAAACTACATGTTTTGACATTTTATTGTGCATAGATGCATGCATATTTTAACGTTTTTAACTGCATACAAATCCGAAGCCTAATTATCACTGTAATTTTTACTATCTTGTCAAAGGATCATTGAATAAAAATTCTATCGACCAGTGGTTCCCATAGTTGATTGGGCTTCGATTCATGCAACAAAAAATTTAAATTTTGGTCCCGTAATTTAAGTTTATTAACATTTTTGGGAATTATAAATAGCTGAATGAAGTATCAAACATATTACTCTCCTAGTAGGTCAATTCAATATTTGCTCCCTACCCATAGTTTGGGAATCCAACTTTTCTCCTCGCCTGTAATCGTCACTTATGACAACTTTCTGACGTAATATACTATTAGAAATCTTGCATCCTCTTTCAATGTAATGTGCCTAATTATTGTATTGAGGATTTTAGCAACAGGGCAGGTTTAAATGGTATAATTTAGACCATCTCATTGATTTAATTAGGTATTCTAATACTTACAGAATATGAAACAAATAACAATAAGAGTTATAAATATTATCTAAACTTATCTATAAATAATGGGCTTAATAAACAGTTTTATATTTCTTTAATTCCACCATAATCAGATGTATATTTGTTAATTGTGTTCTTGTGTTTGGCGTGAGTAACTTATGAAACCTATGATAGTATTGCACCAGCTGTGTTAACGCCAGCTGTAGTAGGCTAGATCCGGTAACGAGATTGGGGAATGATATGACAACCTCACGGTTTAACTCTTCCAGAGATTTTTTCCAAGTACTAGAGAAATTTTGAACTAAACTCAACGATTTGGCATCGTACTTCTTTAACTGCTGTTGTTGCCCTTTTTCGACCAGGTGCTCGCATTCCTTGACAAACTGCATCATTTCACCAAAGTGAGGACTGAGTATCTCTTCTACATATTCGCCACTTTTCACCGCTAATCTACTGCGAAAACTTTCCGCTTCTTTTGAGTTATCCCTCGTTCTCTCCATTATGATATTTAAAACCATATCGTAATTATTAATGAGGTAGATCAATTGCTCTTTGCGCTGAGGAAAAATGGCAGCCATCCGCAGTATAAACAATTCGACCTCCTCTTGCAATTCTGCCAGGAGTTTATTAACTAGTTCGTTCGGGAAATTCTCGCTTATACCGACTAAGGCCGCACTAAATTCTGCATAACGACGTGTTATCTGCAAAAGTGACCATCAAACTACAACCAATCGGATGATTTACTTACATAGTGAGGTCCCATTTCTCTGTTAAACTTTGTGGGGTCACAGTCTCTAATGCTGTTGATATTCAATCGAAATACCTGCTCGAATCGTGGCAGTATAATGGCCTGCAAATTTTCCCAATATTTATCTAGGGCAGGGACGCATCTTTTGTGACACATTAATTGATAACGAAGGATTAAATGGAAGCAAAGGAACAATGCTATCATATCGTAACATTCGGCGACGAAGGTTTCCAAATTTTTCTAAAACAGGTCTTATTTACTTTGTATCAACATAAAAAATGAGGAGGTCTCACGGAAGTAGTGTACCACATTTTTGAACAATTATATGAACTGTTCAGTAAAAGTTGAGTATTAAAAGGCGGTTTCTTTTTCAGATGCTGATATAAGCCCTGGAATGAATATTATAGTAACAACAAACTTGATTCCACCCTGTAACATCAACGGGTTTATGATCGGCAAATGGCGTTTCTTTGTAAACTAATTTCAAACTTACAATTTAGTCAGCAATTAATAACAGTGGTTTAGCATTAAAACCATAATTTCCGAAAGAGAAAAATGGTGTACACAGTTTCAAGACATGAGACACTCCTTCATAAAAAAAAGTACTAACAGTTAATAAGCCAATAGTCTTCCCCATAATATAGTTAAACAGATCCAGCGCTTGAGGTCCTCGTACCATAAAAAACTCGCTAACAAACAGATACTCTCGGCAGGCATTGTCAACCATCGCATACTGTTCACTCCGAAACAACGCTTCGAATGGGTACTACAATTCATTATGTTACCAAAATAAGTTAATTTCAACGTACGGATTATTACACGATTCTTCATTTGAGCGTGAGGTACGATTATAGGTTCTTCCAATTGCTGTGCCAACACGCTGCCTCTGTTTCCTATAGAAAACACTGTGGTTTTATGTTTAAGAGAAGTTTTATGAAAAAGCCCTCTGGAGGCGGTGTCCTCAATACCCATCAAGTCATCTTTTGTCGCACACTCCTCGTACTGTAGCTTCATAATTCTCCCACAATAAGACTTGAAGTACGAAAAATACACTTTGCTCATGGTATCGACGTACTCATTGCAAATCTCCTGTGCAACATTACGTTCGTTCGACAACACGAACTCGTAAAAAAACTTGTGCTTCAAGAGCACATTCTGCGGCACTTGGTAGTTGGTCATGGGTTTACGAAACTTGTACACCTGCTCCAATAGATAGCTACGAATTTTCGACATGGCCTTTATTTTCAATTTCTCCAAAATGTCTTTAACGTCCAAACATGACTTTGACTCCTTAAAACTCTGCTCTTTGACAAAGCTCAATTTGTGATTCAAAATTTGAAGATGAGTCAAAAAGTCCTTGTCTGTAATATTACAATCTAATACACCGGTTATTAACGATTCAGGCACAACCATGTCGTCAATGAATTGACTGAGTTGTCCCCGTACGGCTTGTCGGTTTGCCAACTCCTGACTCATTGAGACCGATTTACGCTGTAAAGACAAAATTTCGCTACTAATGCTTCCCAAGTCATTTTGAAAATCGAGCAACATAAATTCCATCCGTTCTAAAATTTGATCGCAAGCTGAAATTTGATTATGGAGACTCGCAATATTTTGACTTTCTTTAATGTAGTCTTGTATCGACTTATTCTCAACCTCTTTCAATTCCTTTTCGATTTGTTTTGAGTACTGTCGTAGGTCAGTTCCTGTCTTCAATATATCCTGTACGACTTCGTCTTCCAAATTTTGTTGAATTTGCGTCTTAGGTTCATCGTGTGAGGCATTTTGAGTTAAAGCACTCATAATAGTTTTAATAAACAAGTTTTAAGAAAAGAGTGATAGTGAGGTTATGTTACAGCGACATGCAATGTTGTGAAAGCTAAGTATTGAAGATATGATATTCTTCAATTTAATTGAAACGATCTCCTCTCTTGCAAAAGCCGGGTAAATATTTGAAATATGTACTTAAAATAGTGCTATTTTTTATTCTGTATTTTATAATATACGCCATACAGTAGAAATTTTGACACTTGCACTACCCTGTAAAGCCGGGTAAATATTTGAAATATGTACTTAAAATAGTGCTATTTTTTATTCTGTATTTTATAATATACGCCATACAGTAGAAATTCTGACACTTGCACTACCCTGTATATTAAAGCACCGGATGCAGCTATAGGGCCACCGCCAATAACCACAGACGTTTTCTCGTACAGAGTGGTGCATACGTCAATTTCTCTATGAGGTTTTGTTTTATTTTAGCAATCATGATCATAACATTGATTATATGTGTGTATAATCAATGATCATAAGATCACACTTCGAAGGAACGTGATTTGACAATCCAAACCCGTTTGGATCACCGCCTAGGGTATCCGTTTACATGGGGAAACTGACATATGCGCCACTCTATATGTTCTGACTGTCGTAACGTACTCTGGCTACATACAACAATTTTGAACATCTTTCCAGTGGTTTCAAGGTATTCCAGTTTGTTTGGTAGATTATACTTTAATAGTTTATTTTCCAGACAGAGGTACTGAACAATTGAAGAAAGGCCATAATATTCGAAGATACCTCTGAAGTATTCTAGCGTCTTTTCAAAACTATAACTGTTCAGACCTTTCAAGTGCTTTCAAAGCTTGCATATCCTAAGGAATTGCTTAGGGAGCGCTTTTAATTTCACTTAAGAACTTGAGGGACTCTTGAATTTTCACCAATATGCTGGGTTGAAAAAACACCGTGAAAACCGATTGAATGCTTCAAGTATTTTCCAAAGTATCTTAAGAAGTGTGTTCGCGAGACTCTTTAGAGATACCCTTGCAATGGCTTGTTCCAGTAAGGTCTATATAGTATTGTAAAGGGTTTACAACGTTTGCAAAAACCCTAGCGGGTTCTAGAAAAGGTTTAGAATTATTCTGCTGAAATAGACAGTTAGACATTTATTTCAAACCACGCGGCGTGGTGGATACAATTAATAATATTTACTAATTCAAATGGTTCAATATACAAGTGACAAGTTAATGATATTTTTAATATATGACATTACTATTTATTATATTGTGTAGTTGTGCCAACAGAACCACACAAAACTAGCACAATTCATTTGCAAATGTTGGTGTCAATCGAAAACATGAGTTCTTAGTGTTAAGCTGTAACCCCAATTTCGTATCTGGGTTGACGCATAAAACGCTAAATGGCGCAAAACGAGCACAACTCATGATGCAAAATTGAAATTGATTGGAATTGTGTGCACACAGGCGTTACTAAGTGCTAACCCAAAATCAAAAAAATCGATATCTCCTGTATCCGTGACGCACAAAACGTGGGACAGTGTGCATAGAATATTGTGTTAAGGAATTTTGCATTTTTGGGTTTGGGTGAATAAACTTGTGAATCCCCTTGTACATATTTTTGCTGCACTCTAACCACAGAGAACAGACTGTGTGTAAGTGATATGCTCTGAGCTCTGCCATAGACACAGATAAAATAATCAATCACAACAGTGTGGGGGTAGTCTACTCACTGCAAAAATCAATTTATGTTTACTTGAATAAATTACTTTTCGTGTTATGTGACTTGTCTACCAAATTATGGATGAAGATGTGCAGGAAATCAAGGATTGAAATAATTGCGTATATTTCAATTACCACCACCAGCTAAAGCCCACCCACCCACTGTATGCCACCACTTGTTTTATGAGTCATTTTTAATAATCAATAAATTAATGGCTAAATTCAGTTCGTAATGCTATTACTTTAAAATCAGTTCGTTAAATCTATGATAGAATAGAAGAAATTGCATTTACAATGGATTTCAATGTAAAAAAAATCGTAAAAGATGCAGGTGCTGCCATAAGTAGGGTTGTACAGGTAGTCATCGGTAGAAAACCCCATTATAAATGATTATACTATTCACTTGCAGTACACGGAAGAGAAACTAGGCACCTCCGAGAAGACAGAGTTGGACGCTCACTTTGAAAATTTATGGAACCGCGCCGATATGACAAAAGTATGTACAGAAAAAATCCTTCGTAACACCGAAGCAATTCTCGTACCAAATCCCGGCAATCGAATCGAGGATTATATATTTGACAAGATTGAAAAGAAGAGGCCATCCCGGCTAAGCAACTTGGAGTACTTGGGGCTGGATATGATCGAAGCCGGTAATGAATTCGGACCGGGTACGGCGTACGGAAGCGCCCTCATTAAAGTCGGACAATGCGAACAGAAGTTGGGTCAAACAGAGCGAGATTTCATTGGTTCTGCTGGTCTCTGTTACACTCAACCATTGCAAAAGTTTCTGGAGGGCGAAATGAAGACGATAATTAAAGAGAAAAACCTACTGGAAGTTAAGAGGTGATGTTTTGAAGGTTTCATCGGATGATTTAATTTTAATTTTGCATGCAGGTTGGATTTGGACGCCTGCAAGAATAGAGTTAGGAAAGCGAGGAGTTTGTTGGGAACACAAACGGTAGGCATTACTAGTAATTTGTTGTTTCGTGTAATTTTAATTTTAATTTTGTGTACGCTATCATTTAGAAGGATGGAATTCCACCTGAAGTAATGCTCGAGCAGGTACATCTAGTTAGATGTTCAGTAGCGATAGAGGGTTTTTCTGGTCTAGATATTTTTGTTATTCTATAAGGGAAAAATTGTGGTAATGGTGGAGCTATAGGTACAGAAGTTTGTTTGGTGTGGTGGTTACACTCATGTGATTTGTTTGGTTTAGAAAGCGTTCAGCATGGTTTGTTTACACTACACAATAAAGATCAGGAGGGGGGAGCACTAACTTTCCCATGGATAGTTAGCATTAAAATGAGCTAATATTATATTATTATGTACACAAATTTATCACATACAAGCGTGAACTTCACTAATAATCGCTTCGGCATTTATGTTTCAACTTCATTAACCACTCTTCAATTTGCTTATATAATATCAAACGGAAAGTTAGAAAAAATCCAAAACATTCTCGAAGAGTCTAGAAGGCATATCGAAGAATGATGTCGCATCTGCTTCCATTTCTTGTCGCCGGAGACCTATCTTTTATTGACTTGATGGCGCCCTGATGTCTGGGATACTCGCTACAATAGTTTTTTTCCTGCCATTCAAAAATGAAATGATATTTACAACAAAATTAGCTTCAAAAATTCACAAAACAATGCTATAATCTAGCTACACAACTGTTTTTCTGCTAGGATATTAATGTATAGTTTCTTCCTAGACACTAAAGTATACAATAATAAATAACCAAGGGTTACTAAGGTCAAGCTTTTATGTGTTGTATGTATTTATACAGAGTGTTCCCGATCTATCGGCATTACATTGGTAATTTTGTTATTAAGTTGAAGTTTTAGATTGTTAAACAATTTTTTTTAATCTTGATGGATCGACTAAACAATTAATTGTTTAAAAAACAATGTCGTCCTACTTGATTCAAATGAAAAAATAATTAATTTTACTACTATTCTTTGCTCAATCATATCATATTTTACATTGTTTAATTTAATTATTAAATCAGTATGGCATCTTTTTAAACAAAGGAAGTTGATACCATATATTCGAAATCTATAGATTGCCAACCATCTATAGTTGACAGTTGCACAAAAGGTTTTTCTATATTTTTTTGCGAGGAATGAGCTAGGAAAGACGGACGCGCAGTTGCAGGACCCTGTGTACAGTACTACCATCTAGACTGAAAAACCCTTTTATTGTTTGATAAATTAGCAATACTACCATCGTATACTTTTTAGGCAGAACGAGATTTGCGAATCGCGCAGTCTGAATTTGACCGACAAGCTGAAATAACAAAGTTATTGCTAGAAGGAATTGGAAGCTCACACTCTACACACTTACGCTATTTGTATCAGTTTGTAGAAACTCAGGTCAAATATTACTCTCAATGCAAGAATATTATGGCAGAATTGCAACAGGAACTTGCAAGGTAAGCTTTCGTAGTAAACTGAGTGTGCCTTCCGCTTTTGTATGTTGGTGGCATGTCCGTGTGTTTCAGTTCGACGAAACCAGGTCCGGTTTTACGCGTCAATAGCGAAGATCTTGAGCCACCTGCTTCCAATACATCTAACGCAACTTTTCATTCTCCTGCCGTACTAACAACTCACGATCTTAATACTACTTCTATTTAAACTATTACATAATTCTGCACTTATGTATTACTGTAAAACTGTTATTCGTTACTTAATGCACTGCAGAATTATGTAGCGCTTGCTATCTTGTGGTTCTTTATGTAGTATGGAGTTTTAGATGTGTAAAGCTAGTCTTTAGCAATAATTTTTAATAGTTTATCTGTCATGTCTGGCGCTGTGCAATATCGACCTCTGGAACTGGATGGAACGGAAGAGGTAAATGGTGAGAGGAAATTGCAAAAGGCACGTGCTCTCTATGACTATGATGCAAAGGATGTCACAGAGCTCACACTTATGGCCGATGAAGTAAGTAACCTAAGTTTTATTATTAAATAATTGTGGCCCTGATATACTTCCTTGGGGCACTCCAAGTTTGTTTATATATTACTGTTACAACATTGCGTTGTTGTTTTTTAGATTATAACAGTAGAGGAAATGCCAAATAAAATGGATGAAGATTATTACGTAGGTAGGCGCGGTCAGCAAAGCGGAAAAGTTCCAAAGGCGTTTGTAGAATTAATTTCATAATAATATTACAGTATGCTCTCTATGCAATTTCTCTGTGGTGCTCCATGTGATAGCATTCAATTGTATTGTTGTTCGTTAATGATTTCACCGTAATAAATTTACAATATGTGCTACCTATAGTAATGTAACTATTATGACTGAATATTGTCATTCCTATCTGATTATTTCCGTATAATTAGCTTTAAACGATAGACTGTGAGGTACCACATGTAGCTGATCTGATTTTTTAAAAATCAAATCCATTTTTGTATGTGCAATAAAATTTCTTTCTATTTATTTTGATACCTACCAGTGTTCTGTTATATGTACTTTACGAGTAATTTTTAGTTATGTAGTGGTGATTAGATATTTAATTCTGTGTTTGTTGCTAAAGTCATTGGGTAGAATAGGCTTGTTCTATATTGTCAAAGTAACGTCAATTTTATGGATGTACGCTGGTGAAAATTTTCCATGGTAGATAACGCCTGCCTTTTTCAGGTAATGAAATAAAAATTAAATTTTAACTTAATTGTATCTACTTTTGCTATTATCTTCGTGTGATACAGTTCAAAAATATCCAATGTAAACAAAAATGAGAATGAAAAAACTTGCAAACAAACGTAGGGTTATAATGTTAAGAGAAAATAATAGACAATACAGTAGTGTTGTATTAATAGAAAATGCGTTTATTCAAAGTTAGCAATAAAAACGTCATGACAATTTTGAAAATATGATCTTTAACTATATGAGTAGTGTATACAGATTTAAAATTCAAGTATGGCCACTATCAAACCAACACATCCCAGACACACCTCAAAACATCAGAATTGCACGTGATCTGATCGTCTGAAGGTAAATGTGTAAGAAATGCAGTTGAAAAAGAAAACATTTAATACAATGTTTTACTCATTACTTACCCTAAGCCTTATTAGTGGGTACGTACCGTGTGCCCCAGGGAGAACATAGGGAAACAGAATTAATGTATTTTTTCGCGAAGGATCCAGGAGGCCTTTCCCATAGGGAATGGTGCGTTCTACGTGTGACACACTGTATATGAATAAAAGCAACAAATATGTGCAGCATTGTATTACTAATCGGAAGTAGAACCAAAGTTCTGGGAGACCTGCTCCGGAGAGAGATCAGCAGAGACATCCAAAATGGGCTTTGTCTTGTGACTTGTCGATGAGGCCGGCTTTCTCAACAAGGTCTCCAGGGATTTTGGAGAGATCGTTTAACTCCCATTCAAGTTTTATGGCGATATTGACTACCTTGTCTAATCGTAAGCCTAGACTTTTAGGGTCTAAGACTTTCATGAGTGCTGGCTTTGTCTCGTCGGTTGCCTTTATGACGTCGGGGGATTTAGGTACCACGATGACATTGAACCTAGGAACAGGCGCTACAGATTTCCCAGTAGGGATTTTTGCGCGATCGGAAATAGCTGTTCTGATACCCTCCTCTGCCTCCGTGGACATAGCGGAACGGGAGGCAGAAGTTGGTCGCGACAGGGTGAGTATATGCCATCCTGCTCCTAAACATAACTGGCACAAACACAGGGGTTTCCCTTTTTTGCCGTACTCGGGAAACTGATGCCAGACAGACTTACTGCCTACTGTGTTTCGTTATCCGCCTTTCACCACGACACTGTAGAAAACGGCATTTTTAAGGAGAGATGTATTATCAATTTGTTACCAGATCCTGCACGTCAATAACTGTATGTTATTTTAAATTTTTTGATTCGTGTAAAAGTAGTGATCGATTATTTTTGGTAAGTTACACAATAATTTTGATATTCCTAAAGAAATCGACCTATAAACATCATTTGCTTGAATCAGCCGATCACACACGAAGGTTGTTTGGTTATTTAGTTGCATTGATTCCGTCAGGTAATTAGTATAAGAACTTTTTTTATTACTCATCTAGCCGCTAATGTAATCGAAATGGAATTAAAGAAAGCAAAAGTTAAGCCCTTTGAATTTTCTTTCGAAATTGGTTTCTAGTATATAACTTTGATTGAGAAGTCTGATCGAAAAAGTACGAATTGTTTTGGATTCTACGCGCCAAAATTAATAAGAAAAAGTGTTTTCCCGAGAAATTTTGGTGCAGTCGATTTTTGGTATAAAAGGAAGGTTACACACTGCCTTTTTTTGAAGCCTGAAGAAAAAATTGTCTCAGATCGACCCGGGAAAAAATTTTCTTACAGAATGTGGCCTGTAGAATCCATAATTTCAAACAGTTCCAAGATTGGCCTACTAGTTCAAAAGTTACAGCCCTTTGAATTTTCTTTCGAAATTGGTTTCTAGTCTATAACTTTTGATTGAGAAGTCTGATCGAAAAAGTACGAATTGTTTTGGATTCTACGCGCCAAAATTAATAAGAAAAAGTGTTTTCCCGCGAAATTTTTGTTTAAAAAAAACATCAATAAAAATTTTTAAACTTTTTTATTGTATTTTTCAATAGTTACATTTGGGAAATTTATAATAAAGTTTAAATATAGATTCTCTTTTTATTTAAAAAAATTTCGTTTGCTTTCACAGTTTTCATTGTTTTTTTGCTGGGGGTGGGAGACTATGTCGTGTGATGAACTAGTGCCAGCTGCTAGCAAAGTGCAGTTAGGGCAGTATAATATTATTCTAGAGATGAACAAATGAAATAAGTTTCTTTTTTTGTATTACAAAGATCTTCTTGTAACAGTGATAACTTAAAAAATAAATAACTTGATACGTATATTTTGTTCTCAATTGAAGCTACTAGTAGTGAAACACCATATAGTCACTTTGATTGACTACTAGTAGCTACCTTAAGAGTACACCTCGATGGCGGATGGACCGGAATGATGATGACAGCGCCGAATTCGAAGTGGTGATGGTGAATAGTACTCATCCCTACAACAATAAGATTATCCAGTAAACGTGTAGACAGGATTTCATTGTCCTACCTAAGAATGTTGGTCTTTGTTGAGAATTGCAGAGTTGACTAGTTCCTTCGGTCTTCGCATCGGAAGAGTGTCGTCGTTTTAGATAGCTAGCGATGGAGGTAGGTACTGCTTGAGACCGGCTAAAAAGTGAAGTCGGATTAAAAAAGATTTTTTGATGGGTAAGTATGTATCCCAAAAGAGCCGAGATATTTATGAAATAAATCAGATCAAATCTGTTGAATTTGGTCTGTAGAATCCATAATTTCAAACAGTTCCAAGATTGGCCTACTAGTTCAAAAGATACAGCCCTTTGAATTTTCTTTCGAAATTGGTTTCTAGTCTATAACTTGATTGAGAAGTCTGATCGAAAAAGTACGAATTGTTTTGGATTCTACGCACTAAAATTATTAAGAAAAAGTGTTTTCCCGAGAAATTTTGGTGCAGTCGATTTTTGGTAAAAAAGGAAGGTTATACACTGCCTTTTTTTTGAGTCCGAAAAAAAATTGTCTCAGATCGACCCGGAAAAAAATTTTCTTATAGAATGTGGACTGTAGAATCCATAATTTCAAACAGTTCCAAGATTGGCCTACTAGTTCAAAAGTTACAGCCCTTTGAATTTTCTTATAAGACAAGCTGAGCGTGAAAAACAAAACGCAGGATTATTCAATTGTCCATTTACCAATGGGGAGTTTTATGATGCCGACACTGCAAGCCGAAGTAAGTACGTTTTCTTTATTACTACGGCACACTTTCACTCAGTCCTTAACTATCGGATCAACTCGATTTTTAAATAACAAATTCTAGCGCTAATTGTTTCGTATAAATCGCAATAATTGCACTCTATTAATGTACGTGGCCGCTATCAGAGAGCGAATGAATCTTTTTCTTTCCCTCATCTCTTGACTCATTAATCATATATTGTCGGGATATAATCGAATCCGTTACTTACTATGTTAAAATTATCTTACCTAACCTACTTTAATACATACACTGTTACTTAAATTTAACTTTTATGTTACACTGTCAATATTAAATTCTACCCTACTGTAGAAGCTAAAAAGAAAATTAGATTTTAGAGATGGTAGGCCATTACAGTTTCGATGTCATTTGCTAACTTCTTAATAATTAACATCCTATTAATTTTATCCGAATAATTCCCCATAAGCAAGCTTCACTTTGATACATCGTAAGGAACCATTTTTTAAGTTAGGAAATACTTTTGAGCAATAATTTTAATCCGAGTGAAAGGCTACACTTTGATAATAAGAAAGTTGGATTTAGTAATATTTCACAAGTAGATGGTCAAGTTTCCAAATTTCAAAGTGCGATAACTATTTTTTCAAATGGAACTACCAATTTTTCTCCGCGATTCGGAGTTTTTAGGTTATTCAATATTTTTCACAAAAGTACCTCGTGGAACTCTCTCGTTCGGACGCTGCTACGGCTCTATGGAGATGCTAGCTTTCGTCAATTCCATCTCGATACTGTACAGATATATATTTAATGTCCTGCGGTTATTCTGACAATCACGCATAATCAATTACCTCATTCCGAATATATACAAGTAAAGCAGTGTTTATATGATCCTATTCTATTTACATATGAAATAAATTTGCATTTCTCACTGGGACTTTTACTTTTTATTCCTAATTCCCTTTTAGCCTTCTCACGGTTAAATAATATTCCAATTCGGGTGAAAGTAAATGAAGCAAATATAACTTCCTTCCAATGCTAAGATACAGACATTCGTAGGTTCAAAGTTACAAAACACAAGAAATAAGATGTAGCTACAAATCTAAATGAAGCTTTTCCCAACGAGTGAATTGGAGCAAATGGACCCACAACTGTTGCATAAACAATTATTAAACATGTAATTAATGTATGGGTAGGTACTTTTGTGAAAAATACTGAATAAGCTAAAACTACGGGGTTTAGACACTGGACATCTCTCATAAAAATTGAAGAGAACACGACAAACTATCGAATAGCGAAAAAAAATTGTGGTATAGTTCCTTTTGAAAAAAATAGTCTCCTTTAATGGATACCAATTGGAAAAGATATTGGGACGTTTTGAGGAAAGCTTGAGATGAAGGCTAACTTGAAATGTAAGAGGTACCTACCACTACCTGTAACGGATGTGATCAAAACGTGAAGTAAATTGAGAGCGGTTTATGAGGAAATTGCGAGAGAAGCTTTGGGGGAAACGTGAAGAAGTTTGAGAAGCAACAAAATGTTCAGGATTGCACAACATACATCAAGATTTATCGACCAAAAAACGGATTTCCAAAGACAAGCCGGTTTACTTTCTACAGAGCAAAATCTATAAGAACAAATCGATCTGCAAATTTTTTCGGTGAAATAGTCCTATAAATACTCTCGAAAAGTGGCTTGTCCGAAGTCGGCCGGGAAACTTCCTTATAGATCACAACTGACCAGAATATTCAGAATTGGGCATTGGGCCACAATATCAAAAGTTATGTGCAATTAACTGATGTCTAACTCTTGAATAAAATTCTGTCGTTTAGCCAAAATCTATAAGAAAATATCTTTTCCCGGTCCATATCTATAAGTTTGCAGAATTCTTCTACAAACTTTTAAGCGTGAAAATCTTATCATTTCTACATTCTCTTTCCGTTTTTGCTTACTTTCACTGAAACTTTTTTATCCGGCTTTATAGGGCAAATTTTGCAAACTTGACTCAATATACATATGTCGTTTTTTCAGAATTGTTTATATTGGTTTGACATGCACCTAAATTGCAATCTAAACTTTGCGAGTAATGCTTACATGACTATACATACGTGTGATAGTAGACTAGCAGAAAACTTGGCACTAAGTAAGTAGGTAAATACAAATAAAGTTATTACCTTTATTTAATAAAAACATCAAATAAAAAGAAAAGTGTTTTAAAACCGAGTTAAGTGAAATTCAATTTATTTAAAAAGTAGGGAGAGACGCCGATGATGAGCGTTCAGAGGGAGAAATTTAAAAAGAATTGCTGCGCTTTGAAGAAGATTAGTTTGTACTCGAAGTCTTCGGATGGTGTATGTGAATGCGGAAATTGGTGCTAAGATGAAGAACTCTTTTTGTAGTTATGTTCTCCTGGTGATCTGTGTTAAAGCTGCTTTTGCGCAGTTTGGTGGACCATCTCCAACGGTAAGTAATTCATAAGCATCTGCATTTCATTCATTAATTCTACGTTGAATTTGGGGTGTCGTTTTAGTGATTTAAATGCACAGTGGAGAATAAATAAATGAAAGGGCAATGATCTATTCTTGAAAGTTGCCTATAAGTGTTGTGTAATGACGAGTATACCTTCTTATATAATCATTTGAAATTAATGTCATAAATAAATCCAAAACAGGATGCTTAACATTATCAACACTAATAACACTTTCCTATAGACAAATGGAGTAATCCGTTAATGTCGGATAGTGTTATACTATCGATAAATTTTTGCATATAAGTACTTCCTAATGCTACTTTGAAAATCGCACCCCCAATTCGAGTCGGTAGCTCTTTGACGCTGATCCTATTATAGTGGGACATTCGAAATTGCACTATACTGAGTAAAGTACTCAAAACGAAACAGATACATTTATACTTAGTTTTACGTTAAAATTCACTCCACCCCTTAGCGCTGCGGTGACATCCCCTAAAAGTTTAAACGGCATAGTAGAGCATGCAACAAATTCTTAGAAAGGGTTCCTTTCCCTCGAGCTTAATTAAAAGGGTTATGGTCACAGGGAGTGTTATCATTAAGAAAATTAAAACCTTTGGTGTTCCCGAAAGTGACCAAACCAGAAGAGAATGTAAACTCCATTGAAAAATTCTTCAATAATCTACGTAAATTCTGTCAATCTCTGATTAGAAGAGAAAGTTAAATGATTAATATATAAACGAACATCACCTTAAAACATTTAGAGATGATTACTTGAACTTGTTTAAAATTCAACAAAATTATAATTGTAAATGACTCTTCAAAAGAAGTTTTACACAATGGGCGAAAGTGTTTGCTGCACTGTCTTATGACAGCATAAAAAGAACCTGCCATTATCATTATTATCTCCTCATTTACATTGTTGAATTCGCGTCGAATTCATTTACATAAACAATGCAATATTCGCTTTCTTTCAAAGGCCAATAATAACCCCCAATTTGACATTGATGACACTAAGAAGTGAAATTATTAATACAATTGATATGGTGACAGATATTTATGTGATTATTATGAATAACTAAAATCGTGAAATTTATACAATCACGACTTTACGTGAAAGTTTAAAACTTCCAAGAACTGTGGTTCAAGAGTAAATTTTTGTTAGTGAACTTGACCTAAAGAGAAATCCAAGTTAACACTTTTGCCTTTTGCTTTCATCTTCAATAATGAAGTGTATAAATATGTAAATAAACTACTTTAATTATGTATCCTTTAATCTTTCGTGCCTATGCTTTTAAAACTAGTACTTTTTAGTCTAATAAGGCGTTGGTATTCGAAAAGTTCACTTTGTTCATAACAAGGAAAACACACCTACGATGGTATCTTGATCAAAATATTTGAAGTGTGGATTAGGGAGACACTGCAACACTGAGCCTTGTTTGTAACTGTTTGTATTGACTTAATTGATTGTGATGGTTATAGAGTACAACTGCTTAGTTACTTTTACAAGGGTCGAAGACTTGCATTCCATAAAATTGAACGTCTACGGCACTGGCAAAAAATTTAACACGACAATTTTAATTTGACCCACGGCTAGCTCAGTAGGAAGAATATTTTCAAAACTCTTACCTTGAGTAGTTTGGCCCTTTATCTCCTCTTAAAACCTGACATTCAAAGTCTAATAGGTCTGGTTTGATTGAACTCGAATCAATACTCATGTTGATTGAATATATTAATTAAAACAACGACGATCAGATTCCATTTTTCTTTACATATTCCTGGATGTAAAATATTATTTTGATTCACAATTTCTTAAAACAAATTTTAAAAAATGCAATATCTATCTCGTGATCACGAGCCTATGCTAAATTTGATCCTTATCTGAAATTCATCTTCACCACATAATAAATTTCTGATACATTCTCCTCTACAAAATATACACAAATCTTAGAATGCTAAACAAAATTTTAATCCAACAAAAGAAAACCTGCATTTTTCAGCCGGCTAAATGCTAAATGGAATGACGTAACTTTTAGGTTTACTTTAGTTCACGTTCGATATTAAGCGGTATACGTGTAAATTTTCCTATGTTGAATAAAATACGACACTTAAACTGCAAGATCAGACATTGATTTAACGAATTAAATGGACTGATTAATCCAGAAGGTTTTTATATATCAAACTACCTATACCTATGTTTTGAATGTAACAATTTTATTTCACATTTTCAAAAACGCATCAGTGGGAATTGCGGAACCGTTATCCGATTGGCGAAAAACTGCAACAAGCATAATTTCTGTTTAAAAAAAGAGCTTTTGTAATTTAATACAATTTAAACAGTTTCTTCAGTGAGAAGAAGGGGTATATAAAAGTGGATTCAAGATGCAAACATCGAATTTTGACAAAGGAGTTGTGTCACAATCTTTAACCAAATTCTCATAGTCTTTCGCCGAAATAGGGTTAGTGGTGGCAAGCGAACAACTTACTTATTCGCTGATGATGACAGCCTTGCTGTTGAAACGCGTTCAATAAATTAAGTAATGTTATTGTGGCATATTGGTGTTTTTGTTTGACGTTTGCAAAGTGAGTTATTTAACAGCAAATGCAAATAATTATCGCGGCCTTTAGGTCCTAATTCACAGCGCTTGAAAGCGGTGATCATACGGTACCTATAAATATTCTTCTCCTAGCGTCGATCCTATAGAAATTGTCTGGATTCAGGACCCCCTCTAGATCGCAGCACGTATTCGTGGTATATGAAATACAGGAATGGACAATAACCCGCAAAATTTTACAGTCTTACATATTAACAATCCAAATCTAACTTCAGTCATTTATAAAATCACATTTCTTCACTGATAGTCCATCAGGCACTGTAAAAAATATGTATAATTCTTTAATTCGATTTTCAGCATTCAAGTGCTTAAGTATGCCTATTGGACGAGTCCGTGAATGGCGAAAACTTGATTGACCAGCAATTTTAAAATTTTTATTTATGCACCCATTTCATTATAAAAACATCGAAATGCAAATCTTATAGATACGCCATAACAAAAAATATGGCATTGGTTCAATGTTTCAGAATTGCATTTTTCGTTGTTTTGTATACATCAATTTAATGATGAAAACCAGCACAACAATACAAAAGGGGTAAATATGCGTTTGTACGTCAGTGCTTGACCAAATTGAAAATGAGCTCTGGTGCTATATTATATTATACAATAATTACAGAAGATTTAAATGAATTTCAATAAATTCCACTCCCTTTTATTTAAAATTTTTTTAAGCTTAAATTTTGGATTTCTACATTGAAAATTTTGACAAAGTGCACGTTTCCTCTAAATACTAAAACTAATTTTAATCCAATCAAAGGAATCACTTTAATTAAATGCAGATTTCCCAATCAATGAAACAAAATAACCAAAATTCTATGTTTCAATCCGCTTGTTAACAATAAATACAGTACAAAATCTGTTTCATGCAAGTAATTTTCAAGGGTCGATTCCTTTAGGAATATTAAAATTATTGCGAAATTCCTAAAAATAACCGACCACTACTTTATACAAATCAAAAAACTTTAAAAAAAACTTACAGTTATTGTCCTGGCCGTGGATTCTCTTCTGGTAACAGGTGGATCTTATCTCTCCTTGGAGAATGCTACTTCTTTTAGAAATATGGAATCAAATCGCTTCGATAGTACATTTGCATTTTTTCCACCACTTTGGTAACGTTTTCTTCAAGATTGCATTCAAGGTTTCGTTGAAGAAAAGTTCGTATGAATCGCGAACCCAATCAAACCGGTTTAAATTTCAAATCGCTACTACATAAACATTTACAAAATGAAAATTTCAATGCATCTAAACTGGTACATAACCGCCTGCGAAATTAACTACGAAATAATGGCAATTATGGAAAAATAAATTTCACACACACATATAATACATGCTAGCTCTTTTAAAGTCTAGCCTCGTTTGCCGAAAACTTCCGTACAATCCGATCTAACAACCGCAAATGTACACGTTGTAATCGCTTTTTATTTTCAGATATACTTTTGTTCACGTTCGCTATGAAGCGGTATATGTGTACATTTTCCTATGTTTAACAAAGTACAAATTCGAAAAAATACTTTTGAAATTCTAAAGCGGCCACCCGTTACACTGTCTCAGTATTAGATCTTGTATTGAAATCGCAAAATCACAATTTCTTAATTTTCTAAGGGTTTAACGTTCTCTGAAGGGAATTTCAATAGAGCCAGCTTTATCTAAAATTTAATAAAAGGCCATGATTATTGCTTCTCACCCTTAAGATAATAACCAAGTGAATATTTGCAAGCCCTCAGAAGGTCAGTGGAAAGAGAAAGATTGATCTGATTAGTAGATATTATGGTAGCGAGGTGGCCAAACTACAATCCCTCCATGTCCGAAGAGTTTAACTCTTTTTTAAAAGCGAATATCAATAGGTCCAGGTTATAACACAAAGTAAATTTCTCAAACATTTCAAAAACCGAACTATCCACATAGTAGATCTTGCGACGCAAAACAACAATTGCTTAATTTTCTAAGGGGCGTTAACGTTTTCTGAATATCAAATCAATAGAGCCAGCTCTGCTTTATATACAAATTTATATACAAGACCATTGGAAGGAACAAATAGATCTACATAGTAGCCTACGTCTAAAATACTAGAAACACAAACTTAATATCACTTTTTTAAAATAAAATCCTCAAAGCGTTGAGATCATCACAAGTGATTCCACTTAAAGATGAAGAGGTCATTAATTTGGTAGAAACCGCGATTAATTCCATTACGCGTAAGTACCATTTGCATACGGATCCACGTTCTACATACCACAGTTTTATTTGTATTGAAATTTCTAGTCGTAAAGCTATATGCACGAAGGATGCCATCAATTAGTACTAAACAAATCATGGAATGTGTGAAGACTTTTGAATGTAATTTGTCTTCAAGGTTAAAGTACCACGCTATAGGCTTGAAT